ACCTCAAATTCGATGGACTGCTCGTGACCAAAAGTCATTTTTTTATTAAAAATAATATATTTTAATTGTGATTTAATATCTTAATGTTTGATAGTCCAATTGGGATGAAATGATATTCTGGAATGATGAACTACGCATATTTTGGGGGTTTATACCCATACATACGAGTTTATTTTGCACTTACATTTTGAATCAGTATGGTCATTAAAAACAGGCAGCTCTACTTACTAAGCTGATCTTTTTCGTTACAGGCTTCAAGCACTATACTGAAGTATGATATAATTCTATAGACTAAACTGAGTTATACGACAACCAAGAATACTCAACTATGCAAGTGTTATAATTATTATTTCATTTGCACAGACATGTTACTCAAAGTAGTTAAATGTACATAATTCAGCCGATAAACCCAAACCACGAACTATGGGCCGGTTAAACATACCTAGCAGAAGACAAAGGATATTGTTTTGAGACTAGAGACAACAGTCAGCTGTTCATAAAAACATAGTTTACAGCACAACAAACCTTTCTTCAGTAACATTATACACTGACGGTCTGTTTGGAAACAATCAACGATGTAATTAAACTTACTATGACTTGAGATGTCATCTCAGCATTCAATGAACGTTCAGTGTAACGCAGTCAAACGTGGCGAATAAAAATTACAACCAGAGCAAAATTCACAGCACAATCTAATTATTTGGCAAAAAATACATTATAAAATGACGAATTCAATGATTACATGGACGTAGACATGACCGTTATTACACTGGGCGATAGATTGGGCTTACATGGTTTCGTTGCGGATAAAATCTCCCGAAATAATTCAATTGTTTATTTTAAATAACGCACATTGTGTTTTCCCTTCAGGTAAACATGGATCAACACAAAGATAAATAAAATTAGACCAGACGAGAGACCATTATTATCAAGGGTAACACAGTTCCATACGTTCAGTCTTTTTAAAGCCAGAAATGACCTTCGGCTACTAAATCTCCAAAGGCGAACGCTGATGGCGGGTAAGCAAGATGATTTAAGTGGTTGTACGTTTGAAGTTCATGGTAAAGTTCAAGGTATGGAAGTTTCCTAACAACTTATTCATCATCAGGTGTATTTTTTAGAAAGGTTTGTCACTAGATAATATAATCATTTGAACTCAGTATGCGGCTGAATTCGCGAAGGTAAATGGCCTTGTCGGCTGGATTATGAATACTGAAAGTGGTACTGTGGTAGGTGAATTCGAAGGCCCAAGTGTAAGTGTTGATGCATTGTAAGTTTTTTTTCATTTTGACTTGAAGCATATATAATAGCAAACATTGGCTTCGCAACATTGGAAGTCCTAAGTCGCAAATTGACAAGTGCCAGTTCAAGAACGAAAGACGGATATCTCAGTTACATTTCGAAAATTTTAATATACGTCGCTAGTCCAAACATACACTTTGGTTCTTTTAAATCCAATAACAAGCAACATATAACCGTCCGCTAGTGAACAACAGCTGTACGTGCGTACAAATTTTGATGTATTTGATTGGCGAGACTATAAATTATAGTCTCACCATCAATCTTTTGAATAAAAAGAAAGGTTGTATACGATATGGATGACTGAGAAACTTTAAAACTTTGGACAACAACGTAGCGCAGTAAGCGCTTCCTCACAATCGTAGTTCACTGTTAAAGGGACAAGAAAAAGGACGTAGACCAATGGAATGATTATCAGAAAAGCTTATATCAATAAAGGCGATGATAAGAAGAGGGAACGAAGTTCTTGGGGGCTTAAAGTTTAGTTGATTTACGGTCCTGAAGCAACCAATAAGGGGGAAAAATGCTAGCTCGAGGGAAATAAGAGACGGCCTACTCATTTGTGCATCATTATTTTAGCACATGGACAGGTTCATATACGTTGGTGCTCTGATTGGCGGTTTTGTCACGTGATAGTTGACAGGGGCATAAGTTATGATAATACTAATCATATGTTTGACATATCTATATTTTCGTTCATAATTAGGGAAGTTATTAGGTGCTGTTACTGGTATTTTATTAAGCATGAATCAATGATTGGTCGTTTCGCGAATATTCATAGCATACATGAAAAACCTCTTAGTTTGTATTAACATGTAGCCAGCCGTTAAACGTTATGATAAAAAGTTAGGATCACCAGACAAACCATTACCTCATCGTATTTAAGTACGAAAATCTTAACATTATGGTTTGCCATCGTAATATCGTAGTTTCTAATCCGGAATTCGTTTAAAAAGTATACAGATCAGTATTTTAAATCACATATGTTTCTGAGTGCCCAATGTGCGTGGAAAATGCAATTTACGGTGCGAATGGATCGTATGTTCACCAATAGGGAATTCTAATCAACAGAGTGAAAATACATTATCTAGACCTCACTATTGTGGAACCCCATTATTAAGCAGATCAACTGGCTTTGTTGTTCAAAATAGATGTATGAAACAACACGATTGGAGGAGTAATAAGAAAATTGTTATGGAATTTGGGGAGTTAAAGTGTTTGATGAACGTTTAAAGCACTACTTTCTTCATTAGTCATGAAAGCAAACGTATAAAAAGGAGATTGATCAAATTTCAAACCCCTATTCCCCCCTTTGCTGCTCGCTCTTTTAATATTGATTTACTTGTTGATCGTTATTACTGTGACCTCTTCTGGTAGTTGCTCTTATTATTGTGCACACTTTTGATCGTGTCTTTATAAATGGATATCGACCGTTATACTAAATAACATGTTTCCTAGTCTCGAAGCGATATACATATCCCGGAATGATCTAAAGTATGGCTCATGAAACTCGTTACCCTGTGATGATACTTCTTATCCGTCTCTCGTGGTCCAGAGACAGATCACTTACGTGAAATGCTTCTACGTGGGGTGTGCGATCGCTTACGGTCGTTGCGAAAATTAAGATAACGTGTAAGCGTATCACATAACTTGGTTATGTCATTCTGAGTCGTTTGAGGCTTTTCTTCGACGGAAAAAACCTCGGTAGTAGAAGATTTAGTAATTTTTAAGATATGACCTGCAGATGCAACCAGCTCGTCTAAGGCGTTTTTTAGAAACGAGACCAGAACCGCTTGCACCTGTTGGGGAAGTTTGGACAAGAATAGTTGTTTGAATAGGCCTTCGTCGAAAGTTCTTAGGCCTATCACTTCTCTCATTCTTCGCAACATGTCCATCGCAGAACCGTGTTGCAGGTCTATGTTATTAAAGAGTTGGTCTAACCGTTGTCGATCGGTTAGGTCTCCTCGTTTAAGAATCGAACGTTTTAAGATTTCGTAAGGTTCGGGAACATCACTAGCAAACATACTAAGTGTTACATACCTGTTGAATTACCGCGGTAGTGCCTTGACTACTGCGAGGAATTGTGCACGTGTGTCGCTCACGCCGTGCTCGTGGAAGTCGGCTTCTGCGTAACAGAACCAGGCTTCGATATTGTCGGGCCAGAAGGTCATGAGTTGGAACGAGGGTGAGGACATGGTCTTAATCTTTAATACCTTAGGAGTCTGTTCGCTCATAAGGGAATATTAAATACGAGAATACGAGGGGAAAATATATAGATGTCCTGAAACTCGTGGGTAAAATATCACAATGTATAAAAATAAAAAAATAAGACAATAATATATAAAAATCAAAAAAAGGAACAGACTCACAGTTGCAATTAGGTGTACCAGATCACGTCGGTCTCACCAATGAAGATGGCATAGGTATTCAGTGTTTGACAACGCTTTTAACAGCAACACCTTCTAATATACTTTGTTCCCACCGACATAAATCAAAAGACAGAGTCGAGGAGATCAGAAGAGTGTATTTGGCGATAACCAATATATCGGAATTCTCTTATCTAATCTGGCTAGCGACTGCGGTAGATATTGAACACAGCGTTACCACACGTAATCTGGTGTGGATGCATGACCAAGTGCCTTCAGCTAGGTGAGTCCACTAAAACTAATCTGATCAGCATCCAATGTCGAAAACTTACAGAGCTATTTATTTTGGGGATTTATTTACCACTACAATGATTTAAAGCCGACGAATAATTGTCTGTTGTCTGTTTGACGTAATAAAACAAAACCTCAAATTCGATGGACTGCTCGTGACCAAAAGTCATTTTTTTATTAAAAATAATATATTTTAATTGTGATTTAATATCTTAATGTTTGATAGTCCAATTGGGATGAAATGATATTCTGGAATGATGAACTACGCATATTTTGGGGGTTTATACCCATACATACGAGTTTATTTTGCACTTACATTTTGAATCAGTATGGTCATTAAAAACAGGCAGCTCTACTTACTAAGCTGATCTTTTTCGTTACAGGCTTCAAGCACTATACTGAAGTATGATATAATTCTATAGACTAAACTGAGTTATACGACAACCAAGAATACTCAACTATGCAAGTGTTATAATTATTATTTCATTTGCACAGACATGTTACTCAAAGTAGTTAAATGTACATAATTCAGCCGATAAACCCAAACCACGAACTATGGGCCGGTTAAACATACCTAGCAGAAGACAAAGGATATTGTTTTGAGACTAGAGACAACAGTCAGCTGTTCATAAAAACATAGTTTACAGCACAACAAACCTTTCTTCAGTAACATTATACACTGACGGTCTGTTTGGAAACAATCAACGATGTAATTAAACTTACTATGACTTGAGATGTCATCTCAGCATTCAATGAACGTTCAGTGTAACGCAGTCAAACGTGGCGAATAAAAATTACAACCAGAGCAAAATTCACAGCACAATCTAATTATTTGGCAAAAAATACATTATAAAATGACGAATTCAATGATTACATGGACGTAGACATGACCGTTATTACACTGGGCGATAGATTGGGCTTACATGGTTTCGTTGCGGATAAAATCTCCCGAAATAATTCAATTGTTTATTTTAAATAACGCACATTGTGTTTTCCCTTCAGGTAAACATGGATCAACACAAAGATAAATAAAATTAGACCAGACGAGAGACCATTATTATCAAGGGTAACACAGTTCCATACGTTCAGTCTTTTTAAAGCCAGAAATGACCTTCGGCTACTAAATCTCCAAAGGCGAACGCTGATGGCGGGTAAGCAAGATGATTTAAGTGGTTGTACGTTTGAAGTTCATGGTAAAGTTCAAGGTATGGAAGTTTCCTAACAACTTATTCATCATCAGGTGTATTTTTTAGAAAGGTTTGTCACTAGATAATATAATCATTTGAACTCAGTATGCGGCTGAATTCGCGAAGGTAAATGGCCTTGTCGGCTGGATTATGAATACTGAAAGTGGTACTGTGGTAGGTGAATTCGAAGGCCCAAGTGTAAGTGTTGATGCATTGTAAGTTTTTTTTCATTTTGACTTGAAGCATATATAATAGCAAACATTGGCTTCGCAACATTGGAAGTCCTAAGTCGCAAATTGACAAGTGCCAGTTCAAGAACGAAAGACGGATATCTCAGTTACATTTCGAAAATTTTAATATACGTCGCTAGTCCAAACATACACTTTGGTTCTTTTAAATCCAATAACAAGCAACATATAACCGTCCGCTAGTGAACAACAGCTGTACGTGCGTACAAATTTTGATGTATTTGATTGGCGAGACTATAAATTATAGTCTCACCATCAATCTTTTGAATAAAAAGAAAGGTTGTATACGATATGGATGACTGAGAAACTTTAAAACTTTGGACAACAACGTAGCGCAGTAAGCGCTTCCTCACAATCGTAGTTCACTGTTAAAGGGACAAGAAAAAGGACGTAGACCAATGGAATGATTATCAGAAAAGCTTATATCAATAAAGGCGATGATAAGAAGAGGGAACGAAGTTCTTGGGGGCTTAAAGTTTAGTTGATTTACGGTCCTGAAGCAACCAATAAGGGGGAAAAATGCTAGCTCGAGGGAAATAAGAGACGGCCTACTCATTTGTGCATCATTATTTTAGCACATGGACAGGTTCATATACGTTGGTGCTCTGATTGGCGGTTTTGTCACGTGATAGTTGACAGGGGCATAAGTTATGATAATACTAATCATATGTTTGACATATCTATATTTTCGTTCATAATTAGGGAAGTTATTAGGTGCTGTTACTGGTATTTTATTAAGCATGAATCAATGATTGGTCGTTTCGCGAATATTCATAGCATACATGAAAAACCTCTTAGTTTGTATTAACATGTAGCCAGCCGTTAAACGTTATGATAAAAAGTTAGGATCACCAGACAAACCATTACCTCATCGTATTTAAGTACGAAAATCTTAACATTATGGTTTGCCATCGTAATATCGTAGTTTCTAATCCGGAATTCGTTTAAAAAGTATACAGATCAGTATTTTAAATCACATATGTTTCTGAGTGCCCAATGTGCGTGGAAAATGCAATTTACGGTGCGAATGGATCGTATGTTCACCAATAGGGAATTCTAATCAACAGAGTGAAAATACATTATCTAGACCTCACTATTGTGGAACCCCATTATTAAGCAGATCAACTGGCTTTGTTGTTCAAAATAGATGTATGAAACAACACGATTGGAGGAGTAATAAGAAAATTGTTATGGAATTTGGGGAGTTAAAGTGTTTGATGAACGTTTAAAGCACTACTTTCTTCATTAGTCATGAAAGCAAACGTATAAAAAGGAGATTGATCAAATTTCAAACCCCTATTCCCCCCTTTGCTGCTCGCTCTTTTAATATTGATTTACTTGTTGATCGTTATTACTGTGACCTCTTCTGGTAGTTGCTCTTATTATTGTGCACACTTTTGATCGTGTCTTTATAAATGGATATCGACCGTTATACTAAATAACATGTTTCCTAGTCTCGAAGCGATATACATATCCCGGAATGATCTAAAGTATGGCTCATGAAACTCGTTACCCTGTGATGATACTTCTTAATAATCTTATCACTGCTTACAACTAAAGTGGACTATTCTTGTACCTGAGTCTTGCATATAGCATGTAAGAGGTACAAGGGAGCTACCGCTTACCAATTCAACTAATATGCAACTCACGAAAAGAAAGGACTGTTTTAAAAAACTCACATGTAAATGAAGTGGGTGCTGGTTATGCTATTCAGGATGATAATGAAAGCTTTGGAACTAAATTGTCCAGCTTGAGGAACAATACCAAAAGCACCCAACTTGGCTGTGAACCATCGTTCCAATATGAAATAATTGGTTTGTGTAAAAGTTACAGTTCGTTGCAGTGGTTCGATTTCATCACAAGTACGGATTTAAACTATTCATTAAAAATTGTTAATGGTAAAGGTCCTTAGAACAAAAATCTGTTTTAAACTGACAAAAATGTTATGTCATAAGAGGATTTGGTGATGTACCACTCGTAAAGTTTGCCCCGCTCCGTTAGTTGCATTCACGGACAGTCATCTTACTACAAAGTTGGAAACAGCAGAGTGGTTAGCTCGGCAAACTTTGTGTTGAAGGTGTCACTTCCCACAACTGGTCAGCGCTTAAATAGGGTTCGGGAACAGCGAACCATCGATATATCAGATTAAATACTTATCCTCCGGTAGGTTTTAGAACATAGGTAATGTACCGAAACCCTACTGAGTTATTCCTTGGACAGGCTGTGGAACTCGTCTTCGTCAAGCAACAGGTATCGTAGCAGTGTTAATCATTGAATATCTGTCGACTTGGAGCTTGCGACAAATCATCATTAGATTTGGTAACTTCGAGGTTTTCATCAAAGCTCTCTGTACCTCCATTTTGTGTGTAATTTCGTCATACGTACTTCATGTCTATTTCGAGATCAATATCCTATCAGGCGACACACATATGGGGCACACGAACAATTCAGATATTGATCTGCAGAAAGTATCAGGACTAAAACTTTACTTCTTTTCTGAGAAACAATTTAATGATGACCTATTTCTGTTTGATGAAGATCTTAACAATACAGCGTCTCAAACGTCTTGGAGAACAATGTAGAAATATTGAGTTGATGAAGATTCGTAGATCAGGTGGGTGGTTTAGGTGAAGTTTTTCTCTGAGCTAGGTGGTTTGGTCGTGGAGCTTTCAATGTTCTTCTGAATAACATTACAAACTTCAGGTAGGCTTCTACCTGAAGTAGAAATATCCTTAAGTCTCCATAACTTTCAATCTGAAACGTTGCATCGGGACTGACCAGCCTCCAAGGAGTAAAGTAACTAGATAGGTAACAGCTTAAAATCGGTCTCAGTGGCACAAATGCATTTATTTTGCTTACCTAAAAATCCGGAGTTCCAATTTTATTCTGTACTTTTTATTAATCAGTCACTGCTCCAAAACTATATTCTTTGTGTTTAGTTGCATAATATCATCTACATTACAATTATTTCGACTCCGTTGTTAAGTCGGTCTTTTTTATCACGGCTCAATAGGAAGATGGTCTCAAATATATCGAGAATCATTCATCCTGAGAAAACACGGTTTCTAACAGTGACTCACCAATAATCAAAATTGTTAAAGTTTTTAAGCGTGTCACCAATCGAGGAAGAAAGTATTTGTGCTCTCTATGGTATTTCTGATATCTCTTAAAGGATCAACTTCGTAATAGCATCATGATAAGTAAATACAGAAATTAATGTGGATTACTTGATTTGAACCATCACGCTAGCTGGAGCAAGGTGTTAGATACTAGATGGCTGGGTGTGTTTTCCTTATTGTTGCAGTTAAGAACTAGTCTCTTATGGAGTCGACTAGAAGAATGAAGTTACAAAAAACATGATATCCATTCTCGTGCAATAGAGGGCCAGACCTAGTCTTATCAACAACACTTTGTATTATATATAGGTCAAGATGAGTAAAAATTTAGCTGAGTAACGAAAATAAGTGTTCATATACTAATCTGTGAAATGAATCTATTACATAAATGTTGCTAATATCATGTGGATATTATGCTTTGATGTGTAAAACGATGTTCGGGTCTATGTAACACACGGATTTAGAATCAAGTGCCTAGAAAAGAAAAAAAAAGCACATCACAAATTATTTAGGCTTCACATTCAAGTAGTTATCAGAGACGACTGAAGAAGTATCGATTAGTATTCTAGGTTACTTGATACGGCATAATAGTTGAACCATAAATGGATTAGTCAGTGGCAGTCTTGTCATCAGAACTGTTCAAAAATGATATTACAAGAAAGTTAGGATTAGTTGCAGAAACAATGTTCGTTATTAGCTTCCGAAAACATACGTATTAGTTAGATAAATCCGATCATGGGCGAGCATAATGTCGACCAGAAATCAACAAATAAAACTAAGACTGTACAAATTTCATAAAATAATGATTGACCAGAGAAATAGTTAACAAGAGAAATATTTTCTATTAAAAAAAGAAATGAAAAGGTAAAGAAATAAATTAGGTTTCAACAAAAAATATGATGGTAAAACCACGTAGTAAACAATGTTCACAGTTCGTTAGAGAAGACACTTTTGCCATCCTTCAGACATACAGAAATAGAGTATGTATTGTTTTCTGAATTCATAACAAAGATAACATCATAAGTCGTCAATTACAAAAACGAATAGAATAGGACTTTCCAACTCAATGAAATAATATATTCAATACTTTTGTTGCGATCGATTGAGGATAGAATAAATGAGTTATTTGAACAATTTTCAGGTATGCAAATAATTCGTATTTTGCCCCGAAATGATAATAAAACTAATAATTATGAATCAGGATGAGTCTTCATGTCCAACCAAAATAAGGAGGTTTGAATTAGACATTGGATTATCACTTGGCCTACTCTCAACAACGATGTTCCTAGTCGGATAGAAATAAAATCAATATGAAAAAAGTAATAATAAATAAAATATGAAACAGTGGGATGGTTACTAGCTTCGATTCATAGGAGACGTATTGTATATGGTTGGCTCAGTTACCAAAAAGGCAAAGACGAATAATGAAATAACTGGTGAAAATCTACTCAACTGTTTTCAAACTCTCCTAAATAGTATCAAAACTAATGTTTCTGGATTACCTATTATCATGAAATCTTCCTAAATGCTTGTCAGTAAATGAATTTCTCGCTATATATTAGGATAGTAATATTATCAATGTAAAAAATTGGAATGTTTACCAATCATTGGCTTACCGGTCACTTCCTAATAGTCGATATACATGTTTATCGTCATCAATATCTTGTGTAACCTAAAAATCCATTAAAAACATGATTACAATATTTTGTACGTCAAATAAAAGAATTTGTTAGATATCAGTTATTAATTAGGACTATTGATCTTTTTAGGATGATATTGTGTTTAAGAGGTTGAGGCTACTGACCAATAGTTTCTTTTGAGACCATCTAGCTAAACTATCATACATATTTTCTTCATACTAGTTATCAAGTGTCAATGTGCTTAATTAATTATAAAATACAGATATTTATGAATAACTGCTAGTAATTTGGGTAGCATTGGGCTCAATATATACAGAAACATGGGTAATTTTGTGGAAAATATTTTGTACTTTCTGATGAGGTGATGCACATATTATGGATAATGGAAATACAGACAAATGAATAACAATTTTTAATCACTAAAGTAGTACCTTACTTTTTTGATAGAAGAATGCGTCAGTTTCTATTAAGGAGAAAGATCTTTGTATGCATCGGGTGTGTGATATTAACGATGTTCCTAAACAGGATTTATTGGAGCATGTATGTAATACAAGTTCACTAGAATCATAATGCAACAGATCTTCCTCATAGTTTTATGGAGACTGTTCAGTTTATAGTTCAATTATAAAATGGTTTTAACTAGACACCCATTTAAACCAGGTCGTTTTGTTCAAGCTCCGCAGTTAATCAAATAAATAAGACAGTATTGTGGTCTAATAGATTAAACAGACGGTATACAACAGTTCGCACCCAATCAGATAGTAGTGTGGTGTGAGCTACTTATATTGATATAAGTAGTATATAACGTGCGTTAAAAGAACGTAATGTCTGGCAGCAGAAGATGGCGAAGATCAAGAAAGGTAGAGCGAGAACACAATGGAATTTGTAAGAAAACGCATGAACAATGGAATGGGGTTTGCAACAGAAACAGCCCAGTTTGATTTGATGCATGAATATTTTGCAAATTGACGATTTACTATATGGTATTCGGATTTAGTTGAGATAGTCTGTAATTGTTGTGCTAAATACATCCGTTTGTCCCCACCCGTGTTCTTGTTCACTACAGTAGTAGCGATACACCCTCACACACTGTAAAGGTGAGAAAACCTAGTACATGAGCTTGTAAGTGACCGTTGAGTTGCATTATCACATCTCTTACCCAAAATGAAAGGGCTATCACGACTAATAAACAAATTAAACTTAGGGAACAATATTATCATTAAATTTCTTAATATACTTGAGTCGCCCATAAACATTCAAGTCAATTTCCGTATAATAACCTATAACCGATTACTGCCAGTGAGACTATCTTTAAACTATCACATCATGAGTAAAATATTTTTGCTTAAGAATTTGGGGAAATTAATCATTAGATCTAAAGAGTAGAAATACTTACCCTACCGAAGAAATCGATACCCCTCAAACCATGTGTATGAAAAGCTAGTACACTGTCGTGCAATCGAACTATTAGACAAAATGAAATAAATATGCGTTTGAAATAAAACTTGGAGAATCACATAAAATGAATCATTTATTCACACATAATTTGTTTTCTTAAAGGGAAATTAGTTCTTAACAAAAGTAGGAACTAGGATACTTTTAACATATCCCTTTTCTTTTAACAACTAAAACTATCTAGTAAACATCTAATTCAAGTTGAAAATACTAATTTCATTTTGTTCAAACCTCTAATTTTGTTGAATGTGAAACATCAGTGACTGTAGATATTTTCAAGAATAAAAAGACTTAATTTTATGTATGGAACAAGAATTACTCCGTCGATTAATAACAAAAATACTAAACAAATGTTACTGTCTAAATGTATATACAATTGAATTAAATAATATGTTTACGAATCATCATTACAAGATTCTACAAAAAAACACAGAGTAACAGAAAACCTGAATTCATTATCATAATAATTATGAAGTGGTTTTGTAGGGATTTTATGGGGTAATTTTGATAAATAATTAATATCACTTGGAGTATCATCTACTGCTACTAGGGAATGCTGGTTAACTAACTGTTTCATTCTAATTTAGGACGAGCTAATTAATACTGCACACTGTGAACCTGACATGAAAGATATAAGTGGATATTTCCAGGTAGTGTTGGGTACACAATACGTCTAGACCAATAATTAGGAATTGAGTAGTTCGTATTAACAACTTCAATCAATCTGTAGCATAGCATAATACTCTTCTGATGTCCTTGATGAGTTAAAGCCTCATTCTTAAAATTACTGTTAATTATGACTTTTAATTAGACTTTAGAAAAATCCATTTGAAAGCCTATTACAACTAAGCCTGCAATTATGAATTAATTCAGTGGAATAAAGTGATAGTTTGCTTGATCCAATAATGTCACATTATTCATTCAAAGAAATATTTATGTTTTCATTTACACAATTACAGTTATGAAGAAACCGAAAAAAAACTAAATACACAAAACAATGATATTCAAGCTTACCAATAGAGTCAACTGTTGTATCGAATGGGAATTTGGCTATTCGCCCATCTCTACTAACTAGTACACGTCCATTCATATTCACCATTGTGGCGTGTGCTAATCAAGAATAGATTAAAATACGGTAAGCATTGAAACATCAACAGACAGAGAAAAAATTTATTACTGAACGGGAAAGTATACTACAAGAATAACATGACCACTGAAAAAAATTTAATCCAATGATAAATGAAAGCCATTCCAAGAAATAATAAAAGGTAAAATTCAAATAGTTTTATTCAGCAAACAACATCAGACAAAAATCATTCTATATCATGAAATGAGTGATATTAGAAAAATACGGACTATTTATATTGTAGCTTGATAGTCTGACAAAAATATAGTACTGCTAGTCATATGAAATAAATGTCTTGAGTTTTAACTCATGTAAAACTATAGACATGTACACCTGCGAACCAATTCATGACTACGGTGAAACACATATTCAGTGCTTTCTACTTTATAATTATTCTTATGTCGATCTCAATTAAACACATGGTTAAAACAATCTTTACACATTATCTAAAAGTTAAAAAAAACACAGCAACATTAACTATTTTAGCCTTTAATATTCATTTCAGGTAGAATAAAATAATATTATACGCAGACGTGAATGGTGGCTAGCAGTAAAATCCAGGATGAACGTTCCATCCTATTTGAGACTTGTCAGATGGATCCGCCTGCATCCCAGAGTTCATGTCCACTCCGAGACTCGGATCTATTACCGTTCGCTTCAAACGCTATCGCATCCTAATATTCAAACAACCAATACAAATAAATAATAATGGTAACTAATTAGTTGACTTACTGGGAAAACAAATTAATAACGAACGTGTATCAAGCTGTACAACTTTAATCACTTGCAACTGATCTTCAACTGAAATAAAAACCAAACATACAAGGAATATATTTTGAGACTAAAAACAAGATAAGTGGACAAATGCACATCATCAATAGTATGCATACAGTTATTTCAATGGAATGTAGCAATACGATAAATATGTAAAAACATCAATAGACGAAGTTCATTTATCAAAGATAGTTATATATAATTAGCTTTGAGGTGTAGTTTTCGTATGAGTTAATTATACTAATTGGCCACCCGCAAAATTAAAGTAGATGGAGCGGTAGAGCAGGTCTCCTTGGAAAAAAATGTATAAGGACTGAAGTGATAGTTTACAGTGGTATAACATATGTTATTTTGGTTATTTGATGAAGCTCACTATTAGAGTTTACATGCAGCCTCTTGTGTGTATATTTTATTGTGGTCGGATTAAAGAACTCAGTTATCATTTACTTTATTATCAATGACAACTTCATAAAATAAAATATATCTATCAATATGGATGAACAGTTTGAACCCATTTGATTTAATACTACGAAGGACATCATCAACGATTAGACAAACAATGTATATGTAAATATTGTGTTAAATGACTGGTTCAACTGGGTCTACGGTTATTTCTTATTGCAAACAATTGAAATTGTTCTAACACGAACGGAAACTAATGCAAACTCGATAATACAACAAGTGGCACACAAAACCTCATCAATAATCCCCATACGACAGAATCCAAAAATGAAGTGCAGAAAAATCGTGAAATTTGGCGAAGATAGAACTAAAGTAGAACAACTCTGTATATATATCAGCAAAACACGAATTTAAAAACACGAGGAAATTAGTCAAGTAACAATCAGTCTAAAAAAGCAAACATCGTGGGGAAATATGAACTATTTTTATTAGCGTTACAGGAAAAATTCAACATCTATTAACACAAGCTAAATAACTTGAGGTCATTGCAGCAGCAATAATCATATGAAAATAAATTATTGTAAATCCCGATGCATACAAAACTCCCTCTGAAAATACAACAGAAATACTATAGCATATACTTGAAAATTATATTTAAAATAATCTCAGCGATAGAAATTAAATAATTCCAACGTTTCGTTCAGCTAACTTGTCTGGACTTCTTCAGGGTAATAATCAAGTTACGAAATCCCAACTAATTACTAAAATGCCAAGTTTAGAACTCCTATATTAATGACCCAAAGTTATAATACATTACAAGCCAACAGTAATATTTTCCATCAATACGAGTAGTTGACAAAAAAACACTTCGTTGATTACCATTTTTCTCATATAATACAAACTTTACAAACAAAATAGAAGTTGGAATATTTGTATCTAAGTGAAGTAAGAATAGTTTTAACTTATTACAAGATAGCTAACATCAGAGTAAATGTAAAATTACAGACAACGTAATAGCAAAACAAATTGGTTACTACGAATTTCACATTTCATTTTAACATTTACAAAATTTAAATAACTTCCTTCAATCACTTAGTCGAGATAACAAGAGTTTATTATTGAAACAAATATCGTAAAAGAACAACGTATGCCATCTAAGCGATTCAGTTTGATGAATTCAGTTTATTTAGGCATACCAGTAATAAGTTTGACCATAGTCGATTACTGTATTATGGTTAGGAAAACTAGTAGTTTGTAAGATGTGATTCTTTTTAGTTGTCGGGATAATCAGACTGACATTCAACAAACAGATTTAAATATAGTTAAACCATGTAAACAATTGTTAAGCATAGAAAAATGATCAGTTCTATATGCTCACAGAGACAACAAGTTAGGGATGGTTTAAATTACATTAGAATTCTTGTGAAGATGGATTAGTGATTAAATTAAAATTAACCATACAGTACCAATCATGAAAACTCCCAAAGTTGATTTGTTTAACTCAGACAGAAAATGATGAAATCATTAAAGACTACATATTTGTTCACATATGCAGACAAACTAGATAACGAAATCATATGATTCCTCTAGCACAAATACCATAGAACTATAATGCCATTTATTAAAAAATGTTAAGCATCACATGCACGTTGATATTATGATTTTGTATTTTAAGTAATACGTTAAACCACCCATAAACCCTCTGTTAACCGGTGTTCAATTTCACCAGTTATGATCAACACTTGAAAACTAGGTGGAACTGTATTTAAACCGTGTTAAAATCAAATTTAGCATCATAACTAATAAATTATTATAACTAGAAATAATAGAAATAACAAATGGATTGTCACTACTATTATTATTAGCGCTGAAAATGAAGTTGTCGATAACCACTGAGTGTAAGTGATTGACTGAATTCAAACTGCAATATTCAACCAGTTATGTGTATACATTTATACATGGGATATGTAAACACATACATGGGCGTGTGCAACATAAAAATAAATAGATAGGTACACAGAGAATGAAAAACTAATCGATACAAACTAAGTGATCATTTGTGTGGTCATAGCGATAGACTTTAACAACAGACAGTAGTAACGTATACATGTGGTGTTAAATAAAACATTTTTCACAAAAAAACTAGCACACGAAAAGCAGGTTTATATTTTGCAGTAAACGGCGTCTAGCCAGGAATAAAGGTAGCTAGGAGAACTTATCGGATTTCTAGGTAAATGAAGCAATGAAGAATTTCGCTGAAAAAACGTTGCAATACAAACATTGCGTTACATGAAATACTACTTATATATACATTGACTGAAAATGAAATTCTTTTGTGTTCGCTAAATTGTTTCTAAGAAACGATGTACACAGAGGTAACAGTTATACAAATAATAATGGTTCAACCGTTATGTCAATGATTAGCATTTGGAGTAATGATAGTTCAATTATGTAAATGAAGTATGCTACTTATGAAAAATTTAAGTAGCTTGTATTGTTAAAACGACTGACAAACTTTTCTGTTTGAATATTTTACATGTAATTAACGGTTTCGATTTCCTTCATAAAAAAATCAATCAATTGGTGAGTGGTAATTTCTTTCAAGAAATATTCAGTTGAAGGCTGATAATCATTAATTATAACTAATGACATATAAGAATTATTATCAAACAAAGTATATTCAGGTATTAAATGTGAGAACGATACCAACAATCAAATGAGTCGAAAGTCAATAAAAATAGTTCTCAATATTAGTTAATGTTGAAAAATTACTCACCCTCCTCAAATACCTGACGTTCTGAGAATTCAAAAGTCATAGATTCCTATTACTGAATTTTACGCCCATAGTCTAAAAATATGATGATCATTGAAATAATTTGGAGCGATAGTTTCGATCTGGCGTCTGTGCACTGTTACAGAATTTCAATATAGAATGGAACACATATCCAATGATCTATACTTTCTAATAATTCTATCAGTCAAGTCGATTTGTGTGACACGAATTAATTTAAAATCTTGATTTACCTTTAAACACTATTAAATATTATTATAACCCTACCCAATAAATACATGAATATAAATTATAAAAGTTCCATTTTATAAAATTTAGGATGTATAAGTTTAATGTCTTTTAAAATACTTCTCTACATTTGAGGTTGTATATTAGTCCCATTGTTCAAAATGTCAAAGGTTCAACTTTCCAAATACTTTGTTGTTTCATGTGTTGCTAGACTTGTGAGGATGTAAGTTATTTTCAGATTCTGAATGTACGCAATTATCCAGACAGTGTATAAGGATTTGGAAAACGCAAAGGACCGAATACATTCGACTTTTTCACCAGTCCATGAGTTTGATTTACACTACAGTTGTACATCAGTAGAATGTGCAAAGGACTACACAAATAATTTTTATTCATGTGTCATTAATAAAAAAGTTTTCTTAGTTTACTAATCATATCATTTGTTTAAATAATGAAAAAAACCAATATGTTCATTCAAATTGTTGACTGAATGTAAACTTTAAAGTTTGTAAATATTTTTATTATCAACGATCAGCATTTATTATTTTGTTCATATTACCGCATAACCTAGTAGACAATATCATTTCAGATCAATAAAACAAAACTTAACTGATTGATATTTATTCAATTACATATGATCTTTCTAAAAACGGTCTTATGTTTAATGTAAGATTCTGTGTGTTGTGTGTACTCATAAAAAAAGACAACTATCAATCGCAAAAATTGAATAGTACGCTAAATTTATACATTGGGATAGTCATCTCTCACGAACATGAAAGCATTGTTCATGTTTAGAGCAAATCAACTTTTTCAAACATACTTTTATCATGTTAAGTGTTGCTTTTTAAAATTGTCCTCAAAATAAAATAGAAAATCAATGTCATTTATGAATTACTGAATGAGTATGATGAAGGAGAAAGAAAGAGAAGAAATATTGCTATATAATTTGCATACTTTGTGTACTTCTCTCGGTGTGTTCACACACATGTCGGTTCGAATGAAAGTTAAGGTGAATTTATCTAAATTCCAGTTCATATATATATATATATAACGAGAGACAAAATCACTACTTTCGTTGTAAAGCAGTAATTAAATTAATTAATAAACGACTATATATGTACCTTGTTTAATTAACTGCTTAACCATTAAGAGTAACTAAAATTATCAATTGTCATACATAAGAATACAAAAATTACAAATTGATATATTCATAAAGTAGATAAATTAATGAAAGTAACTATAATATATGAGGACGATGTTGAGCAATTCTTAAGATTACCAGTTGATCCTGAAGTCATGCTCTAGCAAAGGAGTCCAAAATCTGTATAAATTAAAAATATTTTGTAATAAAAGTACTGAAATCTGTGAAGGTATAGTGACTTCGAGTTTGTTAGGTTTCTTAAAGGCTTATTATCAGTTTTCCAACCATGTAGAAGTATATGACCACATCTATTCAAGACAAAGGTTGTTTTCTGAATCATTTTTATAACTATAGATTATCTAGTAGTAAAAATACCGTCTATCAATGAAGGGACGAGTATATTGCGCGGCAGTTCGTTCTGTCCTAATTTACGGCTGCGAAACGTGGCTATTAAGAGTAGAAGATACTCGTAAGCTATTAGTATTTGACTACAGATGCCTTAGAAATACTGTCAGCATCTGCTGGGATCACCGGGTAAGTGATAGTGAGATTAGACGCAAGGTATTAGGGAATGATGGTAAACCAGTTGATGAGGTTGTGAATCTTCATCGACTGAGATGGTTGGGTCACGTGTTACGAATGCCTGAACATTGAGATTAAAATTATTTCATATCTTTCTTTCTACGAACTAATTCTTATATGCAATCTTTCCTTTATATATTACATTGTTGAGTTAACTGCTTCTATGAATCTGATGTTCATCTTGCTGTGCTAATGAGGTGTGGCAACTTGGACCGATGCATGTATATGCCTGGTCCTACGTTGTAGCTGACTGACTGACCAGATCTTTGCTAAGGAATGCTCTAAAATTTAGCGAGATGAAGTTATAAGACAACATATGGAGAAACCGTGTGTTATAAACGTTATTTAGTTTAGCATTCCTACTTCAATAGCCTGTTAACTATTCAGTAAACCAGTAATAAAGTGACTGATCAGAGTTTGCAGTAAGGAAAGTAAACTGAAACAGAAACTACTCGGTTCACGTGTTATATATAATTTGAGTAAAAGAATTAAGTATTTGATACTTTCAACATCATCCTTTTCACTGTGGAGTAACTAAAAAGAATTTCTCCAAATAATTTTAAGAATTTCGAGCCATAAACAAATATGCTTCGATAGGGAATTTGACATGAAATGAGATAAATGTCATTCATTTTTTAATTTCGTGGAAAAAATAGAAAACAGTCTACTCGGTTCTGATTAACTCGTCCCTAAACTATAATTTAACCGACTAATGAATCGATTAAGATTTCCCTCAAAAGAAAAGAACAGAGATGTACATGAAAAAAGCGAGGGGAGATGGTGGAAATGATAGCTTGTTCACAATATATATATATCCACAGAAAAATATAAAAACAACACATCTTCCACTCCAAACCATTTAATCGTCGCTGATTTCTTAACTATTCCATACTGTAATATAAGGGTAATGTGTAGCATATATCTAAACTTGGTGAAACAGTATATGTTTAAAAATTCATAAAAAACCGTAAGAACTAATATTTCTCTAATATGCCAGGTATAAAGGTATTAGTTAAATGTAGTTGTATGATGTGAATGATATACATGATTTCAATTAAGTAAATCTTTCTCATATTTATAATATAGAACTTACATCGGCAAGGATTTGTATACCATGATGAATTTGAATTTTCATTTAAATTTACAAGATGCAATTTATAGACAAGTGGATCTGGGGTAGATGATACACCTAAGCATACTGTAGGCAAAGTTTGATTTGGATTAATTATTAAATCGAAATTAAGCAATGGATTAGGCATACATGGTACTTCAACCTGAATAATAATTTTTTGGAAATAAAGCAACAATAATTAGATAATATATTATAAAAAAAAACATGTGAATAATATGTGTAGATTTATTGGGTGAGTTAAATCCTCAAACATAATATATTAGGAAGAAATCGATTTTAGACATCACATGTTGGTTCGTGGTGATTTTCATGGGTTTGAAATACAGATTATGTCAAAGAAGACTTTCTGCTGGGGCAGCAGCTTAAATTGATAAGCATAATTTATTATACATTCATCATCATTTATTATACCTACACCTATCGATAGTATTGCAAGCGGTATTGCAGAGCTCGACTACCAACTAGACTCTAATGATACATCTAATACATAGTTCGGACGATAGGAAGATTTTCAAAATTTGACTTGGTGGACGAGGATGATGCACGGAGGACTCAACTGCTGCTTTGGAAACTGGATACGACCGAATAAGATAAATATTGTAAACTAATCTTAACACATGTGATCGCGCATTTAATGATATCATGCCAGCAGTTTGGAGATAAGTAATTATTTAATACCCGGTACAGATGTTTGAGTGTGGTAATAAGTGATATTGCTAATGAATATTCGGTTTTCAAAACGATACCATCCTATTTCACTCGGGAAGTAAAAGCAATTCTAAAGTCCAAACAATCCGTCAGACACAAATCATGTGGTACCTCTGAAATTTGACTCTACCATACCTAGTCCATAACATTTGATTCCATTGCCGTGAACAAAAAGAAGCCAATATCACCGTACTGGTAGAGTGAAGAGTGGTATTTAATCAGAATCTGCCTCCATAGACGAAATCGTTGCCATTAGTGCAAATTTGTTGATCACCAAGATGGGTGTTGCCACCCAGTACACCCTCGATTCTAATTTTGACGTAAAAAAGTCCATATTCAAACCTGTAGGAAGCTTCTTAATTTTGTTTGAGATATGTCAAATCACAGCCCACAGACAAGAGGAATTTTCATACAGTGAGTATCAACGAGTAGTCACCTCGGTTGCAGCTATAGACATCATCATATCACCAAAGCGTAGGAACGTGCGCAAATTCCAGAGAAGACTGTTCGAACAACTTGCTGGGGTGATTACAGTGTACTATATGCTTTGGGGAAAACATGTTCACAGAAGTGTACTACTTAATATAAGCGGATCTAAACTTACTCGGAAATAATTGGTTTGATTGACCGAAGTTATCCGATATGCTCTTAGGTACTGTATTTAATCTAATGAAACAACCTTGTAAATCAGAGGGTTATCTATCATCGAAGAGGAAACAATTACAGGAGTGCTTTCCATAGAAGAATACATAGTGTCATTTGTCAAATGGTGTTCGACATTCACTAATGTCGGCCACAGACATACAATCCGAATACAGCAACGACTCGTTAGTCCAGAAGTCAAAAATGTACAGCCACCGAGTCGTCTTAATGTAGAGCTAAAAAAACTCCTTAACCAATGTAAACTAATATGTATCGCGGATAACCGCTCTCTTTGTGGTGACACAGAAAAATTACAGACTAAAACATGAAAAAGTGGTCAATAACTGGGAGACGTGGTTAGGTAATATATGAGGTGGCGGTTAGAAGGGAAAAATGGAAAAGGTATCTTAATCAGTTACGATGATGCGTAGTGGGGAAGCGTACGATACCAATAAGCAACTTATAGATGGAGATACTAACAGACACTTTTAGTCTACCATAGTAGAACAACAAAATAGAAAGAAGTATAAAAGTGGGACAGCTAGGCAGACTAGACCTACGTCGCTGATGTCTAAACATACGAGGGCGGTGAACGGTTCAATTCTAAGTGGACCCACGACAATCACTATATTAAAGAAGAGTGTTAGGGATATTAAGTAGTCATGCACAACACATTAGGAAGTAATCAGTATTGCAAATCACATATTGATTAAAGCAGTTTTAGTTTATTTATTTTCAGTGCACTTTGATTATACCAACTGATTCCGTGTGAATTACATTCATTTGACCTACAGTGCACTTTCATTAATTCACTATGATTTTTTGGTAAGGTGATATTTATTCAGTTTGACAAGTTTTCTAACTAATAATCACTGAAAGCAATCATTATTTAATTGAGTGGTGTTGAACATGAATCATTCTTCTTCGGTATCTATCAGTAAAACTTTTAGACAAGCTAGAACTTCTGTCTTTAGTGGACGCGGAAGGAAGAAGTGGGTAAGCAGTGGTCATATTTCATCACCATTTAAAATGGAATCGCTAACTGGTAGCATAGCTCACAAACATATTACGTAGATTTATCAAAAAGTAATAGCCAATGGTCATGTTGCCTAGGTATGTCGATAAACTTGATGATTGATGGCAGTCACCAAGGCATCCTGAGGATTCACGTTTCGTGCTAATTGGCAACCGTCAGTAAGAAATATACATGGAATTCCGAGAAAATGGATCTTTTTCATTAGCATTATGAAAAATGTATCAATACGATAGGAAGACCTTAATTTATCTAGCTATTTCCTTTTATTAATAATTCTAAGTTCTGGCGGATGAGTCAACGATAACCTACCTCGGTAACACAGTAACTATGCAAACATCCGTTATTCTCTGATTAGTTTTTTCCAGATCAAGTTTGATATCTTATGTTTCCAAGGTCATCGTTGATATTGCATAAGCAGATTTACAGCATTATCTTTTTAACTTCGCCTGGAATAGAAAAGTCTTGCTGCTATACACCACCTCTCTTATCACCATGACAAGGAAAATACTATTGAAGTGCTGTTAATTATGTAGCGGAAGCACCATGTTATGCATAAAGAAAAGCGGGGAATTTGCTCTAGATTTTAACCAGATGGTAGTAAGATATTCCGAATTCAATATTGAAAATAATAATTGTAATGCAGTAAAAAAATAACACTACCTAAAAGTACTGACTATGAATCCTTACAAAAACATGGATTAATGGTAATTCTTCTTCCAAAGTGCTTACAATTAGTAAATGCCAATTAAAAATTTTTAACAATAAATTTTTGTTTTTCATTTGGCTTTATTTAATATACTAACTAGTTATGATTTTAGACCTAACTTTCCTCATCTAAATTTCCAGGGGTTGAACTTCTACCGGGAGATTCACTTTTTGACCTAGAATATGCTGATGACATAGTTCTATTTCGTGAAGACGCTGACAAAATGCAGTCTTCTGACCACTCTAAGCAACAATGCAAACATGTTCGGGATGCGATTCTCCCCCTCGAAATGCAAAATGTCGCTTCAGGATTGGGTTGCATTGACACCCGACTTAATGATAGGGAGTAAAGTAATTGAGCGTATCGATCGCTTCACTTATCTTGGAAGTCTCATCAGCCCTTGTGGTTTGGTGTGTGACGAAATCTCAGCACGGATACAGAAGGTTCGACTAGCTTTTACCAACTTGCGTCATTTATGGCGTAGACAAGATATCTGTCTATCAACCAAAGGACGGGTTTACTGCGCAGCAGTTCGTTCCGTCCTGCTTTATGGAAATGAAACATGGCCGGTAAGAGTAGAGGATATCCGTAGGTTACTAGTATTTGATCATAGGTGTCTTCGAAATATTGCTCGTATATCATGGGACCATCGAGTAAGTAATGCAGTTGTTAGGAAACGGGTACTAGGTAAGGATGGCAAATCAATTGATGAAGTAGTGAAACTTCATCAGTTGAGATGGCTGGGACACGTGTTACGTATGCCCAACGACCGACTGCCTCGACGTGCGATGTTCAGTGGTATAGGAGTAGGTTGGAAGAAAGCTAGGGGCGACCAGACCAAAACATGGCACAAGTCCATGAAGTCACTGACAAGTGGTCTGAGCCATATTGGTAGGTGTAGACTACCTGGTTGGGGACCGCGAGATGATAGCAACCGATGGTTAGAGACCTTGAATGACATGGCCCAAAATCGCTTGTAATGGCGCAGGTGCATCTAATCTTTGTGTTCTCCCAAATTCTAATTTTCTGAGTTCTTCGTGTCTCTTTTTTCGTTTTCCAAGTTTATTTCACTGGATTATGCTGCTTGGATAACATCTTCGAACTTTAATCTTTCCGACTACTGTTTATACTCTTACTACCTCTACCACTATGGGATTTGAATCGACAATTGTATCTCTGTGCTAATGTGGTAGGGCAGTTTGAACTGACGTATGTACGTACGAAGTTCTACTTTGTTTCTGACGGACTGACTAAGCTTAAAAACGTATGACTGGCTGATACAATGTAGGTAAAAGCATGATCATAACATAGATACGTATTACCAAATGCGACGGACCGATGTGTTAGACATTTTTGAGAACCAGGAAACACTGGACAGCTATTACGTCCTAGTATGAGACTCCTCAACAGTGTGCACGTACAACTTCACGATCATGAGTGGAAACCAGGACCCTCAGCTTGCGTGCAAACGCTTAATCACTAGACCATTGAGCCGCAATCCATTGGCGTATATGTTTAACTTCAACAAAATCTATATTGGAGCCCAGCGTTACCGCGTGAGACCGAGGGTCCTGAGATCAATCACCGGTTGTGGGTTTACAGATGCGCACTGTTGAGAAGTACCGTACCAGAACTTATTAGCTGTCCCGTGCTTTCTGGTTTTAAATGGATATCTAGCTTATACTGATTCTTAATATCAATACCAATCAATAATCTCCACAAACCTCCAAACACATACGTTGTTAAGTGAATAATTTATGAATATAACCTGTGTCGCTCTGGTTTAGACAATGTTGGATAGGATACATAGAGGTTCGACTCAAGAATTCATTAATCGTTTATCCGAAGAATTTCAAAGATGACTGACTGACTGAAAGAACCATAGGCTAAAACACTTGTTTCATATCCGCTGAAAATGAACAAGATGGTACAGATGTATTCAATATTCCTTTTGTTGTTACTGATACTTACTATTATATAGGAATTCAAAGTTTCAGAATTATGGTTGTAAAGTGTACTAATTAAAAGATATCAGGTTCTATTTTGCTCCATTTAATTATTTCATAGGTTAAAATTAAAAAACGGAGTTAAGAGAATTATATATATTCACAGAGACTTACACGTTTCACTTCAATAAACGTATTCCTTGGATTATACCATTCCATAACAAGGATACTTTTATCAATAGCACCACATAAATATTTCATCCCTTTGAATTGATTACGTACTACAGTTGCAATGTAACAACCTCGTGTGTCTGGAACTTTGACAGTTGGTTGAAAACGCCTTAAACACGATAGTATGCGTGTAAAAGAGAGAAAGATTAAACAGACATTAAAATTCGACATACCATTTCACCATCCGCCTACCTCCACAATCTCCCCCGAGAGAGAGGAAGAAGTCGTAATGCTCAGCCTAATGTCAATTATTTAAGAGTAATTTAATGTAGTAAACTAGTCACCATTGTGACACAGGTAAGTGGTATTGTAATAATAGGTAGTTTCCGAAACGTACCAAAGAAAAAGTAGTCTTTAGAAAATGACACGAAGGAAAAAAGAACAATGATCTGACTATTTAATTTGAAAAAAGATCTATTAGAGTAGGTTATCTAAACAATAGCAATCGATGAAGATTTATTTCTAATTAAAATGTATTCCATTACACACGTATGTAATAGGCTTCCAATTACAAGCTCTTTCGTACGAAAGATAGTGTTACTACTCAGCTGACTAAGACGAATGTGGGGTTCGAATTTGCTGTGTGACAGTTGAAAACTTAGTGGTTTTAATTAAGTTTCTAACTAGATTTACGCAATGCTTAATCTCTAGATCAATCGACAAATATTCATTATTTTAAGAAAACTTTCCTTGACAGCGTTAATGTACGTTTTTTCTCCCATAGAAAATTAACTAAGTTGTTGTTCAACACGTCTTCAACTATTGCCAGATGCATCAAAGTACTTTATCTCATTCTTACATTTTCATACATCGTTTTATCATCGAAACGATTGCGTAAATTAACATATGGTACAATCCTACTTTTGTCAGTTGCAAAAATCCCTACTCTATTTAACTGTCTGATCTTTTCATTAGTTTACAGATTATATATGGTAACTTAACACACAGACTATAAAGTACATTACATATTGCCATTTCACTATATACAGATAAAAAGGATGAAATAATTTTGACTGAACACAAAAAATTGTGCATTTTGTTTATAGTTATATTTCAGTGATAATCGTCACACTCATTCATCAATCATAACCATATTGCAGATCAATAATTTAAAACAAACTTCAAAACTAGTTAAATAGATTAATTTGAAAAGGCACATTTTGTAGTTGTTGCGATGTTGGCTGTCAACAAAAAAATGTACATGCACATTCATTTAGTTATTTACTGAAATCGGTATCTTGTTTTTCTTTTATAATTAAACACAATGGATGACTAATTTACTAAAGCTGTTTTTTATGTAACAAATTTCTAATAGTGTTTAGTCGTGGTAAGCATTATGTAAGTTAGGTTTATGAATTTCGAAGAGGTTCTAAAAACAATTCCACGGGACAGTATTGGGTCATAGATGAGCGATTCCGGGCTGTCACAACTTACGAAACAAAAGAGAACCGTCTAATACATTTTGGTTTCTATTGATTTTTAAACTAATGTAACTTCATGATAAGAACTATAAATAAATTCATAATACTGAATGACCATACGTTTTTGGCGAGAATTTATTCTTTGAGTTAGATGGTATAACCTTGAGGTTTTCATTATCTTTCCTGATATTTGTCTGCAAAGAATGACAGGATAAACGTTGACAATAATCAATCAAATTTAATATCGACAGAATAAGCTGTTAGTTTACTTGTAGTAAAGTAATGTAAGCTTCAAATTGAAATCACCTTGATTTTAGAGAATACAAACCTACCAAAATCATTGATCTTGAATATCAATAAAAATTATCACTACTATTTCGATTATACATAAATCACTTCTTAAAATATGTTTGTTCAGTTAGTCACATATCGCTTGAAACACTTTATCATCTTATAACTTCTACATTCTTTACTAATATATCGTTACATTTTAACAATTCGAGGTGGATGTAAGTAGCTTATAATTGAATCAATTAACCATAAATATACAGAACATAGCAGCCTGAGAACAAATATACATATCCCACATTTTCCAGTCGTATTAATGCGATAAGAAAAAGAAAAATGACTCGAAACAACAACAATAATAATAATGCCAAGTGTATTGAAAATTAAATATAATATGCCAAAAAAGGAATGGAATTTCAGACAGTCTAAATTATAATCCAAAAAGTTTTAGTACAGAGAGCACAAATGCTTTTGTAGAGAAAAAAATCTATTTAAAGTTTTACGAATGAATTTTTAAAATTAGATCTTCCCCATTGCACTTACTAAGTCACAAAGTCAAAAGAGCGCATGGTGTGTGCATATATATACAAACACAGAGAGATACGTGTACCTGTTATCGGTTTTAAAAGATGCCGATAGCTGTTGTACAACAAGCATAAACAGAGCTCCTCATATAAAATTAATTGGATATATATACATCATTGAACATTTGCTCAATTTATAAGATAAAAAAATGTTACAGTTTCCAGACCATTTGTATAATTGACTATGTACACGTTATAATTAAAAAGAGAAATATGTTGATTACATAACAATGACGACTGATTTCAAGAAATTATTGGAAAAACTTATTTCCTTAGTGCGTGAAAACTAACCTTGACTTATTCAGGTTATAATCGGGTGGCGGACAACTGAACTAAAGGCCGATAGAGATGCTTCATAAAGTGTCTTCATTTTTGCGACAAACTATTAGAAAAAGGCAATACTTTCATTGACTACCTAGTCTTCGTTTATTCTGTAGGCTCGTAACGTGCCTCAAATACAGTGCTGAAATTATTCAACAATCCTGAAAACTATTAATCTGAGTAGCAGTCCGCTATGATTGGTGGAATCCTTCATGAAAGTGTTCCTTATATTCTAATAGACAGCGATAACTCATATGCAAAATTCATCCGATAATGACAACAGACGATTGCCAGTGATGAGTGGACTATAATTACGAAGTGGTTGGAATTGGAAAATGTCATAACAATCCACGGTAAAGAAAACTGTTGAATTAACTGAGCATTAGAAAAATGTAGAAGAGATTGATATCATACACGTTTAAACGAAATTAACCATTGAAGAAAGTGATAATTTACTTTAGGTAAATGATTTCGTCGGAAAGAAAATTTTCTTCACTGAATTCTCTTTATTTTTATTTAATTTAGTTTTCGTTGAGTTTCAGTCACCCTTAACAAGCAACTAAATGATACAATACATTGTCTAGCATTGTATCTCTTGTCACGCTCACACAATAGGATATCTAATAAGTTTTCATTTCCAGCTTGTGAAAAAGAGGTAGATAATGATAGCGATTTTCGTTGTAACTAACATGGTCCACATGAAATAAATAAAACCTCTTGACATGTAAGAATGAAACATAGCGAGGGGACATATCGTGCCCCCCGAAACTTACTTATGAAGAAATCGTGTCTGTGATGTTCGACTTTTCATCAATGAAATTAAATTATGACTAAATAATTGAGGATGTTGACCTGATATTGACATCATTGTATCTTTGAATACAAATAACCAAAGACATCGTCTTGGAACAAGCTAATAAGTGGAAAACGAAAGAATAATCTTATGAAGCGGTCTTCTTAAAAGAATTGAAAGGTTATGTATTTATGAAATTTATATCCCTTGTAACATATATATAACAACTACAGCACTCAGTCAGTCAGCTACAACGTAGGACCAGGCATATACATGCATCGGTCCAAGTTGCCACACCTCATTAGCACAGCAAGATGAACATCAGATTCATAGAAGCAGTTAACTCAATAAAGTAATATATAAAGGAAAGATTGCATATAAGAATTAGTTCGTAGAAAGAAAGATATGAAATAATTTTAATCTCATAGTTTAAAGGGAGACAAAGAGTGTATACACCGACGCCATTGTGATCGATTCTGAGCCATGTCACCAAGAGTCTCCAACCATTGGTTACGATAGTCACACAGACCCCAGCCAAGTAGTCTGCATTTACCAACATGACTCACACCAAAAGTTAGTGACCTCAAGCACTGATGCCACATTTTAGTTTGGCCGCCCCTAACTTTCTTCCAACCATTCTCAACACTAGTCAGCATTGTGCGTCGTGGTAATCAATGTTCAGGCATTCGTAACACGTGACCCAACCATCTCAGTCGATGAAGATTCACAACCTCATCAACTGGTTTACCATCATTCCCTAATACCTTGCGTCTAATCTCACTATCACTTACCCGGTGATCCCAGCAGATGCTGACAGTATTTCTAAGACATCTGTGGTCACTCACTAACTAAGTGGTGTAAACCAACAATAATGAAGTGCATTTGTAAGTAACACCTGTTGTGTCCACAAAACGTTTGTTTCACCTTATTCAACGTAACCATGATAACTAATTATTTTGTACAAGTACTAGAGAGAACTAGATCCGAAGACAACACGAGTCTACAAAGTCATCGACTAGTTGAACTAGGGTGTATTGTAAGGCGCTTGAGGAAATTTTAATTAATGAATACAGGGCTTAAGGGACATGAGATGAAATTGACCGAAACGATCCAAGTATACTCATTCATTATATTCTATAAAGTTTCTAAACATACTGTCGACTCCCAATTTTATTCGTTTCCTATAGATTTTTTGTCATAATTCTAATTTTAGACCAGTTCTGGTTTTTTAATCACTTTTTACTTTACTTGGTAATGTCAAATGTTGGACAAATAAATATTTCTACTAGGATTCTACATTATTCATGTCTGTTTACAAATAGATTAGATGAAATTGGAATCTGATTGATTGCAGAAAAAAAACATGTAACTTCGTGGCACACGGTACTTATGTTACGTATTTGTGAAATTGTGATGTTAACTAGATAGGGGCATATAAAAATATATTTCTTTCTTAACTTTCATCTGCAACCATAAAGTAATGGTATTACAGTTAGGAAATACCAATTTATTTTCGATACGTTTTTTTTTACTTAATCACGAATTTTCCCATGTGGAGAATCCTTCATTTTTGGAATTATCGATATTGACATGATCGTTAAAAAAAGTCGTTAAATTTAAACGAAATCCGGATCTTTGAAAAACGAGACGAGATCGGTCGAGTCCCTGTGAATTTTAAAACATAAATATGAACAGTAATAACTTTTGTTCATAGTATACATATCATTGAAGCCAAGTGTTCGATAGAAAAAAGGGTAGAGAATTAATGATTTCTATGCAAAACTGAGAATTGAAACATATCCACACACGCACGTTCCAACACGCACTCAAACATTTATAACAAGTTAATATGCACAAACTAATATATTTTAAAAAATACTATTGAAACGCAATTTAACTATTATGGACAAAGTCATATCCGGATTGGCTATTGAAAAAAATTATCATCTAATTTAAACAAAAATTCAATAATTGTGAAGTTTCTAAGATAGTTCTATGCTACTCACGGAATATATGCAAAATAGATTGAAACTTTTATATAAAAGTCTTCAGACAGAGATAAACATTGTATTTTAGGTTGTTGGAGGCAGCCGACAAGAAAGCATGGACGTGGGTCCTATTGTAATAAGCACTTTTCAGCAAGGCGAACTTGTAGGGTTTAGGGAACTGATAAGTAGCACTTAAGAAATGTCATCACGTATTCTATTCAGATGAACAGTGATGTTGTAGTGATTATTTAAATCATATTTTTTTTGAATGAAAGTAAAAGTAAGTTAGTCGTCAACATGGGACATGACAGAAATGTGTATTAGTCCAACTTAGGAGACTTCAGATGAGTGCAGTGAGAAGACAGAATTATGGAAATTAAGAGTTGCAATGATTATACCAAGGTTGGTTGTAATTTAATCATGAGGAGGTAATTTGAAAACAACGAATGAAATCAGAAAGGAGGAAAACTATGAAAACATTTGTATATCTTAAGTCGATAAAAATTCGTACTAATCCAGTACCCAAACCATGGATTGCCAATATGTCCACTTTTATCCTGCTTATCAATGCCTAAACTAGGCAATAGTACATTCTCGGGTAGGCAGAGATTGGGTTTGTGTGTGACACATTCCTCAACCACCTTAGTTAACGGAGGTTTAAGATTGCATCAGATAATTTTCACAGATAAGTAAAACATAGGCTTCGATCTTCGTCTTAATGTTGTATATAAATATTCCTAACGGAAATGTTATCAGATAGTTTCACAGTTATCATGATAGCAACAATTAGTTCTAGTGATACATTATAAAGTCAACATATATTAATTACATAAATGCATTTGTATGCACATATATGTGCGCACATCCAAAGCAACAAGAGATTCATTGATTACAACAATCAATTAATTTTGTAACCAGACAATAAAATAAATGCAAAGAGAAAGTAAAACACACTTACCAACTCTAATGTACCATCAGCTAAATTGACTAAATCAAGGTAATAAATACCATCGTTCGTGCCAAACAGAATAATTTGACCTTCAGGAGGAAAGTAAAGGTAGGATAATATGGTAATTTGTTCCATGTGCAGTAAACACACAAAATATCAGTGGCAAAAAACTTTCTCCACTAAATGACAGTCGAACTAGTAAGCTTCTCCCCACTCCCAAATTTCTTTATCTTATTTACACATACTACAATTTATAATAGTGATGATGGCTTTTAATGAAAAATAAACAAAGGCTAAGCTGTTTGAAATACGAACAACAAAATAAAAATGTTAACCAGTTGTTTAACAGCATTATCACTAAGGTATATAGTTCTTTTTCATCCTAATCAATTAAAATGGATTATTACTTAATACAATAAAATAAAGCATAGTTGAAGCAATAAGTAATCGTTTGAACTGATTTTTTATTGCTGAGTCATAAAATTCTATGATACCTACCCACCTACATACATATTCTCTTTCTCCCTATTAGATTTCACTCAATTAATATGAGTGAACGCAAGAACAACGATGTATTTTAGAAAAATATTAATTAATGAATTAAATCACGGGATCTAGTCATATTAAACCAATTAACAAATTTGATGATTTATGTGCAGTGTACTATTTTGTACATTGTTGTTACCTATATAGTAATTGATGGTATAATAAAATAGAGTGAAGTATGTGATCATGAAAACTTTGAGAAAATGGTGAAGGATAATAAATAGTTTGACTTCAGTAAATATTTTTCCCGAATGGGATAAAAATTTCATAGTAAGCAATTTTTGTAATTACCTCAACAATGTGTAAATAAAAATATTAATTAATCCATACAGTATTGCAGGTTGCTATTTGTCTGTTTAGCCTTTTACACTATCGGAAGCATAGTGGATATAAGGCGTAGTAGAATAGTTATACAATACACTAAACTTGTTAGATGCAACGTTACCTTAATTTAGAGGGGGCTAATTTACACCAGTTATAAATATGAAGTAGTGGATAACATTTCTCAAGGGATTCAATACTAGACTTTTTAAGTAGCGTGGCCACCAGGATATATTTACATCTGTTTCTTTCTTGGAATTTATAACTAGCATTATGACAAAAAACGTCTCACATTATATTGAGTTACTTGTGGTCAAGCTGTGTTTATGGGGGCAGTTGTATGATCTATCTAGTCTGAGCATTACGCCCCCCCTAGACTCCCGGCGTAGGACCAATGGACACAATGACCTTTCATTGGCCAACGACTCAATAACAGTGAAATAACAGCCGAGATTAATGCTGAACGCTTATTAGTCCGTGAATGCAGTTTGCCCGATAGCTATAACAGGACAACGAAACAGCAGATTTTTCAACTTTTATCTGCAAAATTCACTTTTATGACTCTTACAATAAAACAGAATAAAATCCTGATCATACATCAATATAATTAAAAAAATTAAAAAAATAGGCATATCCACGCCATAAGCGGAAGATAACTGAGCAACTTGAGAAAGATAAAACATATAACAACGATTTATAAGTCAAACGAAAACCTACAACTACGGGAACAAAAATATACAATAATTCAAGTATTCGGTAACTAGACAATAAAAATGCGAACAATAGTTTCATGTAGAACAGTTTCGAAAGTTCACTTGTGCTCAATATTTACCCTGTTATAGTAATAACAAATAAATTAGTTTCATTCTGCTTTTTCCTACAAATATTTAATTGTTCGCTTACAAGTATACAAAACAGGAAACTGGTTACAAGCTTGTTATGTCTGTATGGATTTTGTTAATTTTCACTTAGAATGATTTCCGAAACGACAAAGTAGTGACTAGTCTATTAAAATAATTGTAAAAATCTTGGGACATGGGATAAATATGCACATATATAACCCATTGCAATTTATACAGAAAGCAAAAGTAGATCAATATGGAAAACAGATCTTTTTACGATGAATTCATTCTCATAATTGAGTATGAAATTAACAGTCAAATGCCTTCTAGTAAAAAATATAATAAAAAACAAATTAATGTATTTAGAAGTTGTCTAGATCTATTGATAACAGGTTTCGTGTGTCAATGAACATTTTTTGCTTATAGCTCGAGCATGAGAAAATAAACAAGTTGAGTTAATTTCACTAAGTGAAGATATTCTATACAGTGAGAAAAAGCTTGGTAAAACAGAGCTTTAAAAAATGCGTCATATAAAGAAGTAAGAGAGGAAATCATATGAAAATTAAATAAATCAACAGAAGAATAAGATGTCTTCAGTTAAACACTTCCAATAAGGAAACAAACAAGACAGATTTACTTTAATCAAAAGAGATATATAAAAGTTTATACGCTAAATTATGTCTAACTAAATCAAGCAATTGAACTACACGATCTTTGAGATTCTAGTTAGATAGTTTTGAGGACTTAATAAATGTTAATCTAATAGCCTTATATCTTCCATTCTGCTTTTATCATAAACGTATCATATCTCTTCACTGTTTACATTCAAAGACGATCATAAGTAGCACTAATTTATACAATGCATCCTGGCTTTTAATGAAAGTACAATGGTATCAGAAGATACACCATTATTAACACAAATATACTGCTAGACTAATTCTATTGATTCATCACAAAAGATGAATAACAGTATATACTGTGCAGTGCTTCAGTAGCTACTGGTTTAAAGCTTAAATCATAAACTTGATTAGTTTTCTCTTTAAATACCAGTTATATGGTAGACAATAAGAACGATGAATTTAGTGAGAATGTATGAAGTTTAATCGAAGCAATGAAAAGCATTCAAGAGAATTTCAAAAACATTCAATATTCATTTGTATACCATAGAATAAAGGTATTTAGTAGGAATATCCGATCATCAGATTTAAATAGTTAAAAATAGACCATCGGATAGACTTTGTTTAATAATTTGTTATTCATAACCAAAAGGGGCTAATAATATACATTGACAGATGTGAAACTTGCAAAGGATCTGATATTTTATGGACTGACATTATACTGAAGTTAATGACTTATTAATCTAATCTACGACTACAGGGTTATAGTTTATGTAGGACAGTGAACCAGTTGAATGTTTAAGACTTGGAGGAAAAGTGAAACTGAGTAAATCCGCATCCGTTACCGGAAGTCACCTTCTATATATTGGAATTATATAATTTGACAACTGATGATAACTCAGCGATACAGATATGTCTAAAAGAGGGAAATCGTTCCAAACTTTGACAGAAAGAAGTTATATATCTAAAATTTGCTTTTCTAACTACCTTATTTAAGTTTTGAAGGAGCGATGGCATGATGAGTAAAGCGCTTGAATTTCGAAAATTTTATAGGAGACTTTAAGTCCAACTCCACCTACTTGGCCAATATCCGATTATGTGAATCTGCAAACAACTACTTACTGAGAATTGTTTAAACATAACGATAAAACTTAGATGAATGAGCAAAGATAAAGAAGTAAAGAAAATTAAACACCCAGATAACCCAAGGAAGAATTGTGGATTATAACACACAGAGAGGAAGCCAAAGGATTGCATTACTTAGACAAGAATGCGCATTCAGGTAAATATAGAATTGGTTTTTCATATGACTGATAAGTTTATGTAGATAAGTATGCACTCTGAAGGTGAAGAATTCAGTAAGATTAATTAATCCAAAAACCTCGAGAATCTGTCAAAACCATCAGTTCTGAGAGATTACAATTCACACTTTTAAGACATTTAGCTGTCAAGATCAATTATACGGAACAAGTTTATTGCTAAATTATGTCCCCGAATTCGTTTTTTCACATAAAAAGTACTGCCAGATGTGATTGAATAGCTACCTTGAACTATGCACATCTAAAAGAGATAGTTATCCTTTGACCACTCACTATACTGCTTCAACAAATATCCTCTCCAACGATATGGGTGACAGTATTCAATTTTCTGAATTGTAGTGGAAGACCTGGTCCTAGTTTTGAATCCTTTTAAAAATAAGACCACAAGTAAGTGAGGAGCCTGAACTGAGAGCAAAATAGTTAACCGATGCTTTCTGATTCCAATGATTCTTCAACTGATATCAATTTATGATCTATCTGAACACATCCTAGTATTTTAGCGTTAAACCATTTAACTTAATACGGTAGTTGTAATTAGCTTTCTTGTAAACATTACATTATCCTAGTAATAAAAAACTATTAACCATAACATATCAAGTGTTATTTTAGAGAAACATGATTAAACCTAGTTAATATTTCTTGTACTTAACCCCTCATAGGAATATATTTATTACTACTTGATTTGATTCGACGGAATGATAACCATTTCATGACTACGCGTAATAATCATAATAACTAATAATAATAATAATAATAATAATAATAATAATAATAATAGTATTATTCAATGGAAATTTAGTTCTCTTATATAAATTTGTATACATATACACATATAAAAACACAAAAATACCCACGTAAGTGCAAACACGTAAAGAAAATTCCAAGTATTTTGTTATCCACTTACATATTATAATCATTACCAATAAAATTTATGTATTCTACAAAAATTACATTGAACAGAATAGAATGTTTACAAAATTATATACCGCCATCTTACAAACATTTATCTAATAGTTCTTACAAATTGATTTTGAAAAGAATCTCTTTTCATTTTGTTGAATAAAGATTTTTTGTATTTGAAATATTTTATCATGTTAATTATAAAAATATATTTGTCGTCATCGAGAAGAAAAAAAAACTTTATTATTGGTTTTGAAATTACTAAATATGTTGAAGAATTTATCCGATAATAAAAATGTTTTTCTCTTTCTCTCGATTGATTATGTTTATGTTATGATGGCAGACGTTTTCACTAAATGTTGTCATTATTATTGATATAGGCATTTAACTGTATATATATATATATATATATATATATATATATATATATATATATATATATATATATATATATATATATATATATATATATATATATTCATTGCAAGTGGATCCAGACGACCACGTGTACTCTTCAATGATAACATAGTCAATTTGAAATATGTATACATGACTACCCCGATAAGCAAGGATTTGGATAAAATAAGAAATGTTTTTAGATGTCCTAGTGAATGATGGGAGAAAATACTTGGCATATCATATTTCAGTCACCTTTAAAGTGCGAGTAATTTAGTGCAATTTACTTGACACGTACTATTTTGTGTGTGTTCGGCTTTTGAAATATGCTTTAATCATGTAATGGGCTACTGATACTCAAGTGTCTGCACTGAAGCGGAGCAGGACTCGAACTTAAGAACTGATAATTGGTAGTTAAGTGCCTTAATCGCTAAACCTCTACTTTACGTAAAAGACAATTTGATAAAAAGTTTGTCGATCATCTATCTACGTATTTATGTTAATTATGATGAAATAAATTACAGGAAGTTTTGAAATGAATAGAAAAATAATATTTGCCAACTTGGAATTATTGCTTTTGTAAAGGGTTAAACTGATCACCTCTTCTATCCACAACATGAATCTATATAATGCAGTTGAGGAACATGTTTTCTTACGGAATATTTTGGGTTAAACAATCGAATCAATTATGCGTTAAGTCTAAATATCTTCATCAAATAATAAGTATCCAATCTTTTAGAGATGTAAATATTGGACAGAATAAACTACCAGATAAACTGATAAGCTTCGAAAATGAAGATAATTTTAAGATATGTCAAGTACGTGTAACAAAACATTAAATTGATTGAAATATTTTGGAATGAAGCAGTAGGTTATTGTTGAATGTATTCAGGATTCAACTAATAAATAACTAGTTTAAATTTCATTTTGTTTACTTTAATTTAAACAATCAAATAGCAGTATCACTGATCCTTACATAAAAAAATACTGTTCGAAACTCAGAGAGTAAACTTGTACATCGTATACGAGACCAATTCTTGTGTGGACAAATGGATAAGACCAATTAACTCTATAAGACCAAAATAATCAATTCAATTCAACGAAACATTTGATTTTCAGTTATTTAATTATTCTGCTTTTTTATTCTCAAAAAAAGTATTCCAAAATATTTAACTAATTGGTTAACCTTAGCAAATATCCTAATACTAATCTCATATCGAAATTAATTTCTACAAATTTACCTTAAATTTAATTATGAAATATTTCAGGGATTATAGTTGTTTATCTGAATTTCAAAATACGTATAACTATGATTTCGGGCTTTATTAAAGTTTAATCTGTCTCTATCCAAAAATTAAACCAAGGCACTGATTTATTTTAATTCAAGGCAGGTCAAACTGACTTATTTAAAAATTACTTCTTGTCAAAATGATAAAACTTAAATATATGAAAATATGAAGCATTAGAAAAAAAGTAAATTATGTATGGTTGAGTTACAAGCAGACATGAAGTTACAAATTATTACGAAAAATTAATGGGCATATGAAACGATAACATAATTAAAATAAGGGTAGTAATCCTACATTTGTATTGTGCTTTTAAGAGATGTAGTTATTTAAAAATAAGGACAAAAATAATGTTAGACTTCTACCAATAAGGTGATACTTTACAATATGGAATACATAAACAACGTATGATTACAACAATTAAAAGACTAAAACCGATGTTGTAGGATTATGAAGTTGAATGGAACAAAGTAATACTAATCAGTTTAATGTGTATTAAGTTAGTACAATCCTACTTACTTGTAAACACTATTCACAATTTTGGCATTAAAGTATATCATGTGGTACAGTATAAAATACAAATAGTCACATTTTACACGTAATTTATTTTAATTTCAACGTTCATTCAAATCAAGTTGCATGATGTCCTATTGATGCAACAATAATCATTTAACTACTTATAGATATCAATGCCAAGGTTAGACTTGATAGTTTCAAATAAACTGAGCATTGGATAAAAAGTTAATATTAAGTTTATTTTTTTTATATCGCAATAAGTAGAAAAAAATTGGCTTACATTGGGTCACAAAACGTCAAAAAATACAATTTTTCTACTCATTGGGATATAACAAAAAAATATATTTATTATTCACTTAACCATTTATTTTCTTGTTCAATATACAGACCCTCATGAAATTATGATAACCGAAGTAGGGAGATTTATTTCACATTATAAATACCGTTGAAGTAGTTAATTCAAAAAATAAACTTACTTAAAGTTTCTGGATTTACCCATGTAGCAGTTGAGTTTACTTTCAATGGACAACCTTCAAATATTTGCATAAAACAAGCACCCATCTGTAGATGAGAAAAAAAAAGTAATAACGGAAAAACTGGTTAGAAATTCAGATTTTCTAAAGTAAACAATAAATAGAACTGAAGTGTTTATATATCCTCTTATATTTGCTAATATACAATAGATTGAAATCATGAGTCAGTTGAAGCTAGACAATAATGGTATTGTTTTTATTTCATTAATTTATATCCTCATGAACCGTATCTTCGATGCCAAATCTTTCCTATTACCACTGATATTGTCACTACTTTTACTCCTTTAAGATTTGGCATAATAATTTCATCTCTCTGTGCTAATGGGGTGTGGTAACTTGAACCGATGCACATACGTACCCGGTTCTACGTTGAGACTGACTAATCATTTATAAATTATTATTATTATTATTCAATTTGATTTTTACTTTAAAACAGTTGGAATTCAGCAAAGGTTCTTTTATCACCATCATTACCAACAGTACAATTGACTAATAAAATGATTGAAGTACTAATTCAAAAAACTAATATAATACCTAAGTTCTAGTTGAATAAATTTTCAGGGATAGAACCACTGACTGAATATTTGTTTGTAAATCAATAATGTCATTCAGTGTATCAAGTATGACATTATCAACTTGATTTGTGTTAATTACAAAATCTTCCAAATAAACTTGAATGTAGAATATAATCAGTTTTATAAATGTTCAGTTAATTACAAATTTCTTTTAATTTATTCATCATATCATTTCGTTATTAATCTTTTATCGTTGTTTTGTTTACAAATATCACTTTGCCCGGTAATTCGAAAAAACAGAAACTATGCATTATACTTTTTTGTTAATTTTTTTATATGAATTTGATATTGCTCTATGTAAGTGATGATTCTTCAATGAATATTAGTTTATCAGAAGGGGTTTGTGGAGATTTTAGAAATTTTCACAGATTGAAATCATGAGTTAAGTGCTCGCGCGCGAAGCCAGTAGGTCCTGAGTTCGAATCCCGCGGGGTGCGGGATCGTGGATGCGCACTGCTGAGGAGTCCCATACTAGGACGAAACGGCCGTCCAGTGCTTCCAGGTTTTCAATGGTGATCTAGCTTCAACTGACTCATGATTTCAATCTGTGAATATTAGTTTGTAATGAAATCGATTTTGAGTAATATTTTTTTAATAGTTGAATTCATGAGTCGATTAAAGCTAGATCATCTTTAATTGGCTCATGAATTCAACTATTAAATTACTAAAATTTCCACAAAATCCATTTCTGATATATTTTTGGTTTAAAAAAAAAACAAAGAGCTATATGTAGTCATAATAAATAATAATAATTTACATGAACTTTTGGAGTAGGAGGAAGACCAATACCCATTTCTAATTGATGTTGACGTGAAATATGCTTTGATGAGTCGTCATTTTGTTTACTATTTCGAAGAGGTGTTGGCAAAGAAGTTACACCAGTATGATTATTATTTAATTTAGGCGGTGGAGGTCTGGGTGGAGCTGGTGTTAATGTTTTATCATTATCATTTATAGAAGAGGATAATTGACCATTATGATTTATACTAACAGAACTATTGTATTTTCCAGTCTCATTACCATTATCATCATTATCGTTTTCATTATTGCTCATAGAATCCTCTCGAATTATTTTAATATTATAATTTAATGTTATATCATTTGATGTCTCTTCAACATGATTTTCATGTGATGGAGCAGAGATACCATTGATGTATAACTTGTCGGTTTTTGAAATATTACTGCCAATATCCAAAGTAGACAAATTTATTATTTGATCTAATGATGAACACATATTATTATTAGTAGTAGTAGAAGTAGTGTTATTCGTTGTAATAACGTTCAATGCTGCAGATGATGGCTGTAATGGTGGTGGTGGAGGAGCGCGTCGTTTCGAACGTGAGCGTGGAGCTAGAGGAATGTTCGGCTGTATTATTGAAGTATCATTTTGTGATTCATTCTTTGTAAAAAGAAAACAAGAAGACATAAAAATATTAAGCGGTAAATAAACACAAAAATGCTGCAATACCTTTCTACTTTGATGATTATTTAATGTTCATGAACCCTTTTTGATACTAATTTAAAAAAGGTCTCATCAATAAGCTATGTGACTTTATCTCAATGTTTTTACATGATGCTTGAATAGGCGTGGATTATTTAAACCGTTTCATTTCACATTTTAATGAGATGAGCATTTGTTAAGAAAAAAAGCATGGCTCCTGTTACGGAATAGGTTTTCAATGATTTTATGAATGCATTTTCAATAGTGAAATAACAGAGAATAGCGCTGATCGATAAATGAAATGCAATGATACGATGTAGTAGAGGAAGTGCTGTCCACGAGATCGAATTGTTGACTTGAGTCATCGAATGATTTAAAATTAAAGGCAAAAGCATTAGTCAGAAGAATAGTTTTACCATCTGCTGAAACGATATGTTTGTATACAAAATACCAACACAAAAAGACATCAATTATCATACGCCTTTGAAGGAAATCAGTTTGTAGGTCACTCATTAATCAATTAAGACCGTCGGAACTAATTCTTGGGCATCATATCAGTTACATGATAAACATTGAAAGACAAGATAACTGACAATTTTGATGTAAATTGCAAATTTCCGCGCAACTCATTTTACATTAGGTTGATTTATTATCTAGTTAATTTTTGTTTTTTCACAAATAGTACATAAATTTAGCCGATGTATTAATGACGAAGAGGATCTGATTATTTTACATTTATTATTATAACAGAATTTGGTGTAACTAAATAACCAAATAAAGAATTATGTATTTAGCTTCAGGTCATATCTTCCTTATGAAACCCTGCAATACTAGTGCCTGTACGACCGTGTTTGAGCCTGGAACCTACCTGGTTATCAAACCGAATTAGGTAAAGCAAGATTCGGGAGAGTGATGTGTCGTATATTGATAATAATAATGATAATGACAATAATAGTAGTGTTAGTGATAATAGTAATAATAATAGTGAAAAGTATGTATATTATAAACTAAAATAAGTAACAGGAACTCACATTCAATTTGATCTCATTATCTATCCGACTAACATCGAAACTGAAAATTAGATTGTCGCAAAAAAAACGAAGTAATTAAAATTTTGGAAAACAGTTTCATATTTTCTAAAAAATTAACGAATGTAACAAATACTTTTTGTATTGACGGCTATCGTAAAAAAAAACAATTGATCAGGTTATATGCTACATTCAATGGACTTCAGAAAGAGAGAGGAATATGATTTTCATTATCTCAAAAATAACTTAAAACCAGGGAACACTCAAAGACTGTTTTGTTTCAGTCTGACATTTCACAACTGAGTGTAGAATAGAACCCAGAATACTCAGATATTAAGAAGAGCATGATATTCTCCAGGTTAACGAGTAGAAACCAAATAATATTAACTTTAGTAAATAAGAGATATAAGGTGATCTTTATCAGATATCATTAGACTATATCAAGAAGTATTGATATACTGAATAACTATTATGTTGAATAGTTCTTAAGACAAAAAAATCTGTTTACGTTTCGTACATTTTCATAGTTGACTTACCCATCAATGGATTGAGATGCACGAAAATCAACACCACTTCGACGTTTTTCAAATGCATCCATTACCTCACTAAGCAAATCCTACACATCGAAAAAGAAATGAAAACAAGTAAAAATTTCAAATATAAAATAACAAAAATCAAGATCTATATTAAACATTACATAATGTACTTAATTATCAAATATTTTATCTACTTTTTATTACCCGAATATAGATTGAAGTGTTATAGACTATGGAAATCAAATAGTATATATATTTTTCTACTAAAAAGCAAGTGAATTTGTAAAAATTAAAAAAAGCCATACACAATGACGAAAAAAAATAACCAACTTTCTTAGATTGTTATTTTTCTCAACATAAAAAGAATTAGACGCAAATGAAAATATTTCAATCTGTGAGAATTATATATGTTTGATTAATGTGCTTTCATTACTTGGCCACTTCGTGTTTAATGACATACATACATTGATGGATGGTTAATGTAATGATTAGATAATGACTGTGAATGAACTAAAACTGTTTTGTAAAAATCACCAAAAATTTGGAGTACACTAAGAAGTAGTGAACAAATATGGAGTATTCGGCATCTGAATACGATTGTGACTGAACGATAGATCATGAGTTGATGTAATAAGCTATGGGTAATATATGTTTAGTGAAGGTTACTGACAGTACCCAGATTTAAAATACAATGAGAGTGGATCGTAATTTAAATCCTTTGTCTACTGATGAAAAGTTGTGCACAAGAAACCCTGAAACTTAATTCAAACTGTAAAAATAACAATCTAGAAATCATGTATGTAGAACACTAGGGAAACGAACCGATTTATATTTTCATAAGCAAAATCGAAATTTGTTTAACATGAATTTATAACCATTATTTTATGACAAATGAACATGGCAAATTAAAAACTTTAAAAAAAGTTCTTTTGATGCACAACTGAAAAAACAGCATAGCTCCTGTCAAACATGCATAAGCCTAGAATTCACGAGTTTATAAATCCTGATATAGTGTAGAAAATGAAAGTAAAGAATCCATACTTCTAAAATTAACAGAAAGTAAAACAAAATAGGCACTTGCCTCTGAACTGATATGTAATAAACGATCAGCAAATAAATGATTTTCTGTTAAACAATCAGTTTCTTCAGATATTTCACCAACACTGTTTATATTTGATACACGTGACGGATTAAGTCGTACTATGGGCGGACAAGGACGACTAGGTTTTTGCTTATCATTATTATTAGTGGTAATAATTATAGCTGATGGTTTATCGCTATTACTATTAATATTACTGTTATTATCAGTAGAGATAAGAGTAGCCATATTATTATTTTGATTGAATGAATTTGTTGAATCTACAGAATGATTACTATCATTATTAAGCACTGAAGAGTGTCTAGAGGATTTTGCTGGTAATAAAGGTCGAATCACAGCCTGTTGTTGTGCATTATTATACTGAGATGATGAGTCAGATTGTGAATGTTTTACAAATCCATTAACTGTAACTGTTATATCTGGTGCATAATTTTTTTTAGTCAAATTATCATTATTATTTATAGTGATTTCTCTTCCTTGTGAAATGTAGTTCACATCTGTAGATTCTGCAATCTCATTACAATTCTTTGTATGATCCTAGTGTTAAAATGGAAAAATTAAAGGCAAAAATAAATAAAAATGTAAGATAAAATATTTACCAAGAGGTGAATTATGGAGAAAGTTATGATGATTAACGTAATTGAAAACGATAGTTTTCACATGGAACTGATCTCGAAAATTGTAATTGTATGTAGATTTTATATAAATGAATCAATGACTCAACTAAATGGATATGTACCATTAGATGACTTAAAATAGTCATTCATATATAATGTTATTTAGAATATTATGACTGAATTACAAACGGAAGATATAATCAGCAATCTTATATATTTCTCAGGTATCTGAAAGTTAGATGGACCACGAAAAAAAAAGAAAAAAAAGCGAATCTTGTGCCTTATCTGCCTTTTTGTATTGTTATGACATGTGGAAAAGTGTGAGTGCATGTAGGGGTCTTTTTCCTCACATTTGCCTACCTTTATAAAACGAGCGTAAAACCATGAATTCTGATAAGTGAAAATATTCGGCTATTCGTACTATTATTACAATCATTCAGTCATAATCAATGCAGCGCATATGATAATCGACATAAATTAACATTATAAACCAATATAATCTACTAACTAAGTACATGTTTGCGTGCTCGGCTTTGAGGTGTACTGTTTATATGGAGGCTAATGATACCAGTCTTAGTTACTCGGATAGAAATATATGGGAACGATTTCAAAACTGATCTCCTGAGTACAAGACAAGCACTAAAACCTTTCTCCATATTTACACAATCTTATATAGATTTTAATTCAAATCATCAATTATAGTGGTTTATACTGCTAAAAAGATATGTAGTAATTAGTAAGTACAAATCTACTGTGCCAAATATCTAACTATACTTCTGATTGTATATAATTTGTTTTTTAGACATTTGTAAATTACAATTACCAGTAGTCTATCATAAATAACAGCCCGGATTAGTATAATAGAGTGACAATATACAAACAGTGGATTCAGTCGAAAATCACCTGGAAATATTAAACCAATGAGAAAAAAAAACCGACATATACATGTTGAAGTAGAAAAATAAAATGGTATTGTTATAGATGGTACAAGTTGTAGGATAAAAATGTCTATTATTTGTTATTATTGTTGTTTTTACAATAAATTTATATACTAAAAAAATCACATGGATCATCTATATGATAAATAAAATTTAAACTGATAAACGTTAATATTTAATGCAATGAATTATACAATTTAGAATGTTAATTAATGAAATTTATCATACAGTAACATGAATTCTTTTGATAGCATAGTTCTGAAGTTGTTTAAAATGAAGAAATGCAAGACGTAACAATCTTTTGTTTCTTACAGAAAAAAAATATACCGAAACGGATCACCAAGTTTCAAAATTTATTAAATTATTTTGCTACATAAGCAATGTAATAATTATGAGCTTAACTAATGATCATCCATACATGAAAACTTTCAATGGAGGGATTAAAATTAAAGTTATAACTGTTTTTCAAGATAACTTCATTAATAAGATTAATGAAAGAGCACAAAACAATAAGAAACAAACCTCAGAGATGATGTAAAACTTACACTATTATAGCTAAGCTGAAATCGATAGGTAAGTGATGTAGTAAGCGATTGAATGAAAATCAGTGATTAAAAAAAATGAAAAAACAGTTAGTTATCAGATGAGAAATTATTTTGAACATACATTATCTCAACTGGCCACAATTCACAGAATGAACAATAAAAGAATCGAAGTGATAATACCAATAGTAGTGACGAAAACGATGCACTTAAAGAATTTAGTCGGAAAGGAATGAATGAAGTTGAAAACAATGCACAGAACATGGTCAAAGTAAAACTTAAAATCTGGAAGGGAGATAAAGAATGAATCTAATTATGCCATTGAGACCGATATGAAGTTCTGTCATCAAATGTATTATACAATCACAGATCCCAATAATCAACAAAGAAGGTATCAATATGCGAATTCCATGAACGTAGTCTCGTTTTCAAAACTCTAAATGAAGGCTTTTCTAAAAGAAATCACTTTACCATCTCTCTGCTTTAACATTGTTCAGTGAATTTCAGTTATGGCAAAATGTAGAGATATGTGAATTATATTTTCGTAAAGATTTTCTACAAGCTGGCATTTAACGATAATGAAAAACTATAACATATTTATGAACTCAGAACTCAATACTAGTTATTTATTCGATACATAGGTGGATTATGCATGATTTCATACCTTTAATTACAATAACTTCACATTTGTTTCATAGATAAGACAGTGACAGTATATATGACCAGAGTAGATTTAATACGACGTTAATTAACATTGGAATAAATACAAACTTGAGTTGAAAATTTGGGGTTTTATTAACAGTCCCCAAACTGCACAGATCAAATTGTGAAAAATAGTAAAATATTCTTTTATTACTTACGTTTAATTCAAATAAATTGCGAAATCCCGTAATATACGAGGGAGATTAATACCGCAATCAGAGCTGTTTTTTATTAACGACAAACTCAATTATTTTTTACTCATTAAAGCTTTCGATATTACGTTGATTTTCAAAAATTAATTGCAAATATGAGAACTTTCACAACAGCATCAAAAATGTAAGTTGTACACTAGGATTGCTCAGTTAGTCTACATGACATCAAACATGAATAATCTAGTGTCTTTTTTGTGAAATACTTCATCATGGGATTTTATCAGCAGTATTTCACTTAGTCATTTGTTACTACTACTAAGATGACAAGAAAATGATTCATAATTATACGAGCAATGGTGATAATTTAAAACACACAGAAAGACAGATGTTGAACTTACATCGGCTAAATCAGAGCAAGATAAACTGCTTTGGATTTGTACACTTGAGAATCGTTCCGGTTCTCGTTCAATAATGAGTTGTTGTGATGGGACAAAATGCACAGGAACACTAGCATCAATTCCGTGACTAACTGGGAGATCGTTGACTCGAAGAGATTTGAAATATTCTTCCTGTCGAACTGAAATAGGCATACCAGGAAAGGATACTGGTGGTTCATGATTATCAGGAGGAATAAAATTACCCCCGGATGGAGGATTCTTTTTATTTGATGAAGATATTCCTGTGTCTCCATGGGAATAAGTATTTTTGGCTGAGGATTCTAATTGTCTCCGATAGCACAGCAGACGTTGAGTTAATAAAGTAGACAAGTGTGGATTTGTAACAAAGTTATGCTACAATTAAATCAGAAAAATTATCATTCAAGTTAATGAATTGAGAAATCTTGATAGATTTTAAAATGATTATAATCAAACGTCAATATCAATTAAATAGATATTTAAAACGATTAATACCAGATAAATGTTTTACTCTAATGTTCGAGACTCTTACATGTATTCATATTTGTCAATTATGTAAAAGATAAACGCGTAACTATCAAGATCCATTACAAACCCGACAGTCCATGAACCATTGAATCTAAAAACTAAAGTAGCCAACTTGATAGTTACTTAATCGATCACAAAATTATCACTAGAGTTTAAATGATGGAACCACAACCCTAGTGACTGAGTCTATGAATACATATAAGGAAATTATCGATAACATTTAGGTGGAAATCATTCAGCCAAAATAGAAAAACAACGATTTAACTTGTCGGTCAATAACTGGATTATCAAGAATGGAAATAAAGATAACAAAATAGTCACTTCTACAACAATGAATGCATAACCAATCAATGAAATAATACTTAAAGTATATGTAACCTACCGTAAGCATTGTAGCTGCATCAGGTCTTCGTCGTTCTGCTTTGATTAAACAACATTTAATAAACGAATGAAATAATGGTGACCTAAAATATATAGAAATAATAATAATCAATGGTAGACACTTAGATGATAACATATGAATGATAATTTGTCTCTGAACTTTTTGAAATTAAAATGACTTAAAATGACAGGAAACAAAAAATGTAGCGATGAATAAAAAAGTCGTATGCCTCAACCCAGAAAGTAAGCAGAACAGGAAAGCATTGGAAATTGGAAATCCATTAAAAAGCAAATAGTCTATTTCCTTATCAACATTAGCTTGGAAATTACCTTGATAATTAACATGTATAGGTGGCTTAACAGTCGTAATTGAAAGTCAAAGGAATCCTATTAAAAATTGATTGCTTATGTATAATAAATAATGATTTGGTGTTAAGTAATGTCCTTAAAAATGTTTGCTAACAAATTCGCACTACGAGTACTCAAGTCAGATTTACGAAGTAGTGTTCAGAAATTGTCTCTTAGAATGCATAGATTTGTCGAAAATCGGAGCACTAAATACAATTAATAATTCAAGAAAAAGAACATAGGATACAGAACCATTATACATCAATCTGAATTACCATGATGCACGTCAGCACAAAGAGGGGAATGACAAGTGTGTTAAATATGAAGTAAGACTAAAAGTTAAGTTTGTTCGCAACTCAGTCATCGCGTTACTACTAAAACTAGCATATGATCAAACACTGTGCTGCTAGGTATTTGTATTTATTCTGAATAATGATCCATTTGTTGTGTAATTGTATGTGAATATTGATTTCCTGTCAATCAAGCTACTGGATCAGCTTCTTTCAAAATCGATCACAAGCACTGTGTTTCGAAACTTGATCATATCACATATTATATTTCTGGATGAATTAAACAACAGATCATATGACTAAGAAAAAATCTCAATTTAATTTCGCAACAATTAAATATGGAATTTTACATTTCACTGTTTACATGAAGCAAAGCATTTAGTACCACTGACTTAAATAGCTGTTTTTAATGGTAGTATCAAGCTGAATTAAGTGACATTTTCGATATTTTAGATTGAGCTAACATGCATTGTTGAACTGCATATAGAGGAAAATGAGTATTAAGAATTTAAGGTGTTTTATGATAAGTATATCAGCCACTATCAATTCTATTTCAAGAGTCCTGTTGTTAATATAGTAATTAATAGTAGTTAGTATAATTGAAAAACCTTATCAAAAAAGTTCTTTTAGTGAATTCATCTGTTTGATTACAGTAAACGTGGTTTTCAGGATTAGTTAAATTGAAGATAATTTTCATTGTAAGTAATAAAAACAAGGACCGATTGAAAGTTATGCAGTTCTAGTTTGGGACTTCTTAATAGGAGTATGGACTCTTGAACCTTATCATGAATTGAAATTGAATCAATTAGCTCAAGTGATTACCGTGTCATTTGATGACTCAGCTGAAATTCAATAATTTACAGTTTTCCACTTTAGTTTGCTTTTTATGGTTTTATAGTTGATAATGGTTGGTGGTGAAAACCATCGTGAAATGTATATCTCAGCAAGAATACAGTGAGCCAGTTACAACTTTTGTATGAATTTTATTGCCCCCAAATGCCCTGGTACGGCCGAGAGTGGGGAAAGTCCGTTCTCCCTCTCGAAATACTCTCGCACGGCCACGCGTATACAGCCTCTGCCAGGTAAGTCCTACTCATTGCCTTCTCGTGGCGGGGATATTGTTTACGAAAATGAGAGGACGAAAAGCGAATGTCCAGCGCTTTAACCGGATCCCGAACCAATGGTGCACATGGGCTCCAGTATCTTGTGGAAACAAATGGCGTATGAACCAATCGTTGGTCACCGGCTACCATGAGACTGCATCTCCTCACGATGCTCCACTGCCTTGTGGGTTAGACTTTTAGGTCAAAGGCTCGGGGTGTGCCCCCCCCCAAGAAAACCACCTGCTTCGGTCTAGGCACCCGGGCAGTACCACAGCCCACACGCAAATGATGAACTCTCTATAACTATGGGAACTACTTTTCTCGCTTCGAATAACAATCAAATGATTATTATTACTATTATTATTTACCACATTATTCACCCTCTTTTATACTTATACAGCGGCTCGTCTTTGGTGGAAATTCGACTATATCTAAACGTTCTCGAGTCACTGTCCGGCTGAAAATTGTAAGTTACCACCGCATATGAGTACTGAAGCAGTTTTTCTGAAACCACGTGCACCATTCAACGTTCGCACACTTATGCAGGTTGGACGACAGATAGGGTTGACTATGTCTTTAGAAAGTCTTAATATCGATGTTTGCTGTCTATCCGAGACCTGTATTCAAGACTCTGGTGAAGTACTACAAATTTGCTCTCCGTCTGTCGCTTCGAAAAGCTTGTTTTACGTGCGCCTATCCGAGGACCCTGTGACATCTTACTCTGGTCTTTCTGGCGTTGATGTCGCACTAAGCGCTAGAGCTGAAGCAGTACTAACCGATTGGATCCCCACCAAAAGTTGGTTATGTGCTGTTAGATCAGAAAGTTCCATCAAAGTGAAAATAATCGGCGCGAGAAACGATGTCTTTTCATCATCTCTGCCTATGCTCCGACAGATTGCAGCTCGGATGCAATCAAGGATGAGTTTTACCACCAGTTAACTATTCTCCAGAAAGTGCGTTCGACAGATATTGTAGTGCTAGCCGGAGACTTGAATGCTCAGGTTGGCCGTCTAGGCACAGAAGAGAGTCGTTTAGGTGGCCGATGGAGACTTGGTCGCAGAACAGATAACGGGGACCGTCTACTGCAACTGTGCACAGACCACAACCTGTTTCTGGCCAGCACTAACTTTCGGCACAGTCATCGCCGATGTGCCACCTGGCGTCCTCCATCTGCATCTCAAGCGTGGACTCAGATTGATCACATCGCGATCAGCTACCGCTGGCGTGGTTGTGTACAAGACTGCCGCTCCTTTTGGAGTACCTATCTGGACTCTGACCATGCCTTGGTTTGCGCCAATCTTACCTTACTTTTCAGTGACCAACGAAGTGACCGCCACCAACGGATTGATGTTAGCAAGCTGGTTGCAACTTCTGTTGCTAGTAAGTATTGAACTGAGCTAGTTTCTAGGCTAGCTACCATTCCACCGGAAAGTATAGATGAGCATTGGTTGCAGTTGCATGACGCCATGAAAATGGCGGGTACAGTCAATTGTGGGTTCGCGAAACGTCCCGCTTATAAGCACTGGGTTCCTTCCGGTTCCTTACAACTCATTGAAGCCCGTCGGTCTACTCCGGGTGACCGTGAGTTTGACCATAAACGAAGGATGTTACGTAATGAAATTGGGCAAAGCTTGCGTAAGGACAGAAATGCCTGGTGGTCGAAGCATGCTAATGAGTTGAAAGCAACAGCTGCATCTGGTAACTACCGGAAGCTCTTCCAACTTATCTGAGCCACTGGCAGCAGGAAATCTGGTGTGAGCGAAACAATCTGAGAGGATGACGAGATGACAATCACCAACATCCATCGACGTCTTGGACGATGGGCACAATTTTTCGAAAGGCAGTTCAACTGACCTGCTGCTCCGGCAATATCAGTCAGATTGTCATTTGTAGTGAAAAGCAGAGCGACTTATGCCAATCTGGGCCATCTCTGGTCCCTTCGTGATGTTGGTCTGCCTGTAAAAGTCCGGATCTACACCGCGTCGGTGAGACCAGTTTCGCCCTATGCTTGTGAAACCTGGCCTCTCTGAGTTGAGGACGTTAGACGACTCTCTGTGTTCGATCATCGTTGTCTCCGAAGGATTGCTGATATCCAGTGGCAACACCATGTTAGTAATTCAGAGGTTCGGCATCGTGTGTTCTGGCACAGAGATGATAACCCAATTGGTGTCACCATCTTGAAACACCGACTTCGGTGGCTTGAACATGTTATACGAATGTCGTCTCAGAGAATTCCACGTTGTGCATTATTTGCCGACTCTGGGACTGGTTGGAAAAGACGGAGAGGTGGTCAGTGTGTGACATGGTGTCGCGGCATGAAAGAAAGCTGCAAAGGGTTGGCTTCTGTTGGTCCTTCACGACTCCCTGTTTGGGGTCCGAGAGATGGTGCTACACAGTGGCTAGAGACGTTATCAGATATGGCTCAGAATAGAAGCCAGTGGCGATCCTGCTATAACCTTCTTTTAGTTTCTTCATAAAAAGTGGTTGTGTCTCCCTTATCTGAAAGATTTCTTCTGATTGTACCTTTTCGTTCCCTCATTATTACTATTATTATTACTACACTACCTTACACCAACCTCTTCGTTATTGTTCCTTTTTTTTCACGCTCCTTACCATTTTTTCTTTCTCTTCGAATTCTCATTGTTTTGTGTGGCGCATATATATTGGCGCTCTCTTGTACCAATATTTATATGTTCAAATAAATGAATTTTATTTCAATAGTATCTCTTTGAAGGTGATGTTCGTCCTAGATTGATCAGTTATCATACCATCAATAAGCGAGGAGTACTAGAGAGCTTTTTCTCAGTATAAGATTGAAGAATTATAATGTATGCCCTCCCGAGTTAGTATTAAAAATTTAATTTGCCAAACTATTGTGGAGTAATGGTGTAGTGTTTAGGGCTCTTAACTTTCAGCCATTAAGTTTCAGGTTCGAACCCCGTTTCACCTACTTCGAGTAATTTCGATAACATTTACATATCTAGTGTGGCTTAAACCCGAGTATTTAATGAATATTTATTCAGGCAGTTTTCATGATCAAACTATTTTTTATTATTATGAAAAGATAGGATAATGGTTGACAAAATGACTAGATGGCCTACAGGGACACTCAAAATATTCAACTGTTTTACAAAAATTAACCCAACCATTAATCATAGAAACAAAAATACAGGAATTTGGAAAATATATTGTTCTTCCTCATTCAGTCTTCTCACGCAAATAGACGACTGAAATCGTGAATAGGGAGCATGTTTATCAGTATTAGAATCAGACATCGCGCAACACAAAAGTGGCACACTTTGACCTCATGTTTTATATTTTTACTGTAAACTTATGCAAAATCTGATATTCAAGATAAACATTTTTACGTTGTAATATTATGTTCAATACATGTTGTTACACATCCCATAAAAATTCCGAAAAAATATTTTTAACCATTTCAGGTATGATTTCTACAACATAAAAATGTCATTTAAGGTTTACCACAACCGTAATATAGGACGATGATGACTAACAATTATGAATTAAAAACATATTATACAATGTACAACAAGATATTGCATAAAACTAGTAGTAAGTAAATTCAGCTGAACCAATAGGTAGAATTCAGTGTTTAAAACAAAACTTTATAATGAAAACGTTACAAATAAGACATTGTATCGAACATTTCAATACTGAATTTTACAGTGTCTGATTACAAATTAGAATCTTGTTTTACTCATCAAGGCTTGGAAAGTTGGCAGATATAATAAGCTGTCATAAAATATATAAAGAGCCAAGAAATGAATCATAATCACTGGAAGATCTGGCATAAATGTACAATGGTCCGAGTGGCAAAGCGAGAGGAAATCGATAAGACGCGTAATAAAAAGTAAGGGTAATGGCAGTCGCGTCTATGATAATGAGAAAAACATACGGAATTTCGCTTAAAAATAAATAATCTCACGGAATGAGATGCATGAAATCATATTAAGGCTGAAGATCTGAATGATTACAACTGATTACCAGCCATGTTATTCAACAACTTCAATCGATGATCACGAATATCATGCAAACATATTGACATAGCTTAGACCAACAATCAATACCTTCATGTATTAGGCTGTAGTGTCATGACCGTTGCCATAATCTTTTTGTTTAACTCTTATACTAAGCAACATGGAAAAATCAAAGCAGACGATTTGGAGACACCAAACCAATCAGATATTATTCACTGGAGAAAAATAAAATTTTACAAAGAATGTCTAGAGGTTTGGGAATTTTTATTAATTGGCTGGTATTTCATTAAACATGAAGTTAGAAATCTTATGTTTATAACGAAAACGTCGTTATATTATGCATTCATTACCGATTAAAGCGAGCAGAATGTTGGTAGAAAAAACTTCATGCTAGCCTGAGTGAGAAACACAAAATACGGATAAAATGAACTACTATCGAGGTAGCTACCACAACGCAGTCAGTCGAGTCTAACAGATTAACCAGCAAGATTGAAGATAACAAGCTTTGAGACCTATTTCTAGTACACCAATTAGAAAGACTAGACTGGAACATTAAAACGCTTTATATATATATATATATATATATATATATATATATATATATTCTGGTTAGCGCTATTTTAGCAAGGAGGACCTGATGCAGACGTGAAGGCTAGGATTGGCAAAGGGCAGGACTTCTACAGTTGGAGAACATATAGAACTAAAAACAACTGTCAGCTAATTTCAAAGTCAGAATCTTCAATATGAATGTCAAGACAGTTCTACTGTACAGAGCTGAAACTTGGTGAACTACCACAATCATCATCAAAAAGTTACAAGTATTTATAAACAATTGTCTACGAAAAATACTCGATGTCCGTTGACCGGCTATCATCAGCAACAGCCTACTGTGGGATAGAACAAACCAGCTTCTAGTTGAAGAAATTAGGAAGAGATACGACGTGGATAGGAAATATATTGTGGAAATTATCAAACTGCATCACGAGGCAAGCGCTCACTTGGAATGCTGGAGGGAAACGGGAAAGAGGAAGGTCACAGAACAAACTGCGTTGAAAATTGGAAGTAGACATTAAAAGAATGAATAGCAACTGGAAAGGATTACCCAAGATAGAGTTGGATGGAGAATTCTGGCAGGAAGTCTATGCTCTTCCATGAGGGTAACAGGCAATATATATAGACTAGACCGAACAATTGATAAATAGCAATGAACACTGTATAAATGTTGCAACAACGAATATAACAGCAACTCATAAAAAAAAGATAACGAACCATTTATGACGGTCTTGTAAAGAAGGGGGCTTGTAGTTTCGTGAACCCAGAATTTGTAGTGCTCTAAGGAAAGAATGATAAAAAAAGAATAGTCATTTAGCTGGCAACAGTACAAATAGTTACATTTCGAACAATTCATTTTTAATAGGGGCCAAAAACACACTTACTTCCTAGGGTCTAGATCGAACATTGGAGGTTGCAGTTCAGCATATTCAATAGCAGTAATCCCAACACCCCAAATATCACACTTTCCATCATAACCCGAGCCACGAGATTCAATTGAAGCTACCTCAGGCGCCATCCTACAAAATTATCGAAGAAGGATTTAGCAGTCAACGGAAACAATGTTCGTGATTAAATACTATAGAACTAGGTTAAAAATTATGTTTTCGACCCAATCGAACATCAGCATGAGCATGAACTTATTAATACATCTGGGTAATTGATTTCTCTTGGTTTAGGCTTTCTCTATATACATTTGTTACAAAGGAGCTGTTAAAATCTATGTAATGTTTGCTTGGTAAGATTAGTTTATAGTTGGTAACATTATGTTACTGACGAAATCTATTAAACGAAAGAAACTACTATTACATCATTTTTGATGACAACTATTCAAAGAAATGGTAATGATAGGTGGATCTGAGGATTTTTGTAAGTTTAATTAAAATTGGCGTAACAATTCCTTCTAGTTATAATTAACTTGTGAAGAGTTAGTATAATTAGAAAACGGGTTGCTATTATTATCCTAATTCAGCCAGTCAGTCATAAACAACGTGCAGCTTGGAGCAGATGTGTGTTGGGGTACCGTATCAGTTTGACGAGATAGAATTAACAATGTGTATGGCAAAAGACAGTGAAATAATGTAGTATCAATAAAAATGAGAGTTTAAGCATTGAGAATAGGGTTTCAAAAGATAGAGTGAAGAAGGTATATATGAGATATCCGTCTATCAACCAAAGGACGGGTTTACTGCGCAGCAGTTCGTTCCGTCCCACTTTATGGCAGTGAAACATGGCCGGTAAGAGTAGAGGATATTCGTAGGTTACTAGTATTTGATCATAGATGTCTTCGAAATATTGCTCGTATATCCTGGGACCATCGAGTAAGTAATGCACTTGTTAAGAAACGGGTATTAGATAAGGATGGCAAATCAATTGATGACGTAGTGAAACTTCATCAGTTGAGATGGCTGGGACACGTGTTACGTATGCCCAACGACCGACTGCCTCGATGTGCGATGTTTTGTTGTATAGCAGTAGATTGGAAGAAAGCTAGAGGTGGCCAGACTAAAACATGGCACAAGTTCATGAAGTCACTGACAAGTGGTCTGAGTCATGTTGATAGGTGTAGACTACCTGGTTGGGGACCGCGAGATGATAGCAACCGATGGTTAGAGACCCTGAATGACATGGCTCAAAATCGTTTGCAATGGCGCAGGTGCATCCACTCTTTGTGTTCTCCCAAATTCTAATCTTCTGAATTCTTCATGTCCCTTTTTTCCTCTTTCCAAATTTATTTCACTGAATTATACTCTTTAAATAACATCTCCAAACCCTAATCTTCCCGATCACTGCTTACACTCTTGCTACCTCTACCACAATAGGATTTGAATCGACAACTGCATCTCTGTGTTAAGGTGGTGTGGCAACTCGAACTGATGTACGTACGTACGAAGTTCTACGTTGATATTGACTGACTGACTGTATATATGAAAGAACGATGGGATACATGATATATGGGAGAATAAACAGTTAATGTATTCGTACTATTGTGAACGATTATGAGCCATGTCATCAGAAGTTTCCAGCTTCTGGTCGCCGTTAATGCACAGACCAACATGGTTCAGACTAAGTCAATCATTTAATGGAGTGATGCAGTGTCTTGGTATGGTCACCTCTAGCCTTTGCTTGACCTACTTCTATACCAGCAAACACCAACCACCAAGGCAGGAGGTGAGTAGGAGTAAGCAACGTGTCCTAACTACGTTAATCGACGAATATTCATAGCCTCGTCAACTTATTTTTTTACCTTTTTCTAGTACCCTATTGTTATATTTGGACGAAGAATAAGTGAATGGTAACTGCTAGGATCTATTTAGGGAGTTATTATACATATTCTTGTTGTATAACTATTAAGTAACTATATATATATATATATATATATATATATATATATATATATATATATATATATATATATATATATATATATTCCTCTTACTATAAGCTCCCATTTGACTTATTGACTACTATGATGCGATTTACTACTCTAAATTTATTTCCAATTTATTAGTTACGGTCTCTCACAATCACAGCCACTTTTAGCCTGATCTTGTATAAATGTTATTTTTTATTTTGTGATATAGTGTGGTCTGGTTAATTTTGTATGTAAACATAAACCAAGTATGTCTGAAATACATGATTTATATAATGGCGGCTGTTATCTGTGTTCTGCACTGGACCGGCTGGGTTAGACGAGAAGCTACTACCTCAGAGAACCAATAGGAACTCAGAGTTGACTTTAGGCTGCTCGTACTGGTTTATGCGTCATTGGTTTGGTCAGTAGTTCGGTGATCTAATTGGTGACCCTATCACGTGATAATTAATAGACTATAAGGATATAACACCTATCTTTAACATCGCTCAGCAATTCCACAAAGCGCGAGCAAAGGTTGCGAAGATGAGAGCCTACAGCGTATGCATCTCCTTTACTTTCACAGACCATGTTTCATATCCATAAAGCAACGTAAAGTGGGTAGCTGCACAGTGTACAGCTCCTTCAGTCGGCAGACGAATATCACGTCTACTCTGCAAGCAACGCAAGTTGGCAAAAGCAGACCAAGCCTTTGTCAGACACCAACCCACCAGAGTTGATGAGACTTCCCAAATAAGTGAAGTGAACGGTACGCCCAACTACATCTCTCTATCATTAGCTCAGGCGTTAACACAGACAAGTCCTGAAGCAAAATTTTAAATTTATAGGGAGAGAAGTGCACCCTAAATATGTTTTCATTGTTGTTCAAGGTGACCAAAAATTGTACTTTCTCAGCTTCTTCACCTAATAGTACTATGCGATGTGTATTCCAAAACGATAGGTAAACCTACTAATAGAAAACCAACCCCTGAAGAGTTAGGTGAGTGTTATTCATAGGAAAACATCTATGATAAAATTAGGCAAAATGGAGAAAGTGGACAAACCTGACAACCATCATATGACAGTTTGCCGAAGGCCCTGACTCGACAAGTGGTGTCTGAGTATAGGGATTTCACAAGGGTAATGTACATCTCTGGTAGGTTTCTCAATGATGAACACTGTCACAGAACCTTTCGTCCAGCAGAATCAATTATACGTATTCACACCCAAATAACGACAATAAACGCTGAAACATGATTGTTAAGGAAATATTTTTTCTGAATTTACAAGATTATAGAGCGGCGGCTTAATGATTGAAGTGGTCAGCTTCAGCTTGGAACTAGTAAATCGAGTATGAACCTTGTCTGATACATTTCAGTTTTGACACCTGGGTAGTATTAGTGGACTGCAAATAAATAATGTCAACCAGCTACAACGTAGGATCAGGCACATATATGCATCGGTCCAAGTTGCCATACCTCATTAGCACAACAAGACGAACACCAAATTCATAAAAGTAGTTACCTCAATGATAGTAATATATATAAGAAAAATTGTGTATAAGGATATAATACAGAAAGAATTAGAAAGAAAGGTATAAAGTAATTTTAATCTCATGGTTTAAGGGAAGATAATGAGCCATGTTACCTCGAGTCTCCAACCATTGGTTACGATAGTCACGTGAACCCCAACCAAGTAGTCGGCATTTACCAACATCGCTTAGACCAAAAGTCAGTGACTTTATGGACTGGTGTCATGTTTTGGTTTGACCGCCCCTATCTTTCTTCCAACCATCCCCAACACTAGTCAGAATTGCGCGTCGTGGTAATCAATGTCAAGGCATTCGTAACACGCGGTCCAACCAACTCAGTCAGTGAAGATTTACAACCTCATCAACTGATTTACCATCATTCCCTAATACCCTGCGTCTAACTTTACCATTACTTTCTCGATGATCCCAGCAGATGTGAGCGATGTTTCTAAGATATCTGTGATCAAATACTAGTAACTTAAGACTATCTTCTACTCTTAATGGCCACGTTTAGCAGCCGTAAAGTAGAACAGAACGAACTGCTGCACAGTATACTCGTCCCTTAATTGAAAGAAGGATATTTCTCCTTCACCATAGGTGAAGTAAGTTGTCAAAAGCCAAACAAACTTTCTGAACCTGTACAGAGATTTCGTCAGACACCAACCCATTAGGGCTGATCAGACTTCCAAGATAAGTGAAGCTGTCGACGCGTTTGACTACTTCACTCCCTATCCTTAGTTCAGGTGTTGACGTAGGCCAGTTCAGGAGCAACAACTTGCATTCAGATGGGGAGAAACAATGTAACTCAAATTAGTTAAAGATAGAATGTGTTATCCTTCAATCAGTCGTAAATAACGTAAAACCTGATACACATGAGCATCTGTGAAAATTGCCACAGCATATCTGCACAACAAGATGAATTTTTCAAGATAAATGTTAGAGTAGTAAAAGTAGTAGTAACAGTACTTTTAGACATAGAACATACGATTCAAGAATGAAAAGTATGACAACGTTTTGGAATTAAGGTGAGGAAAAGAGTGGATATATCTTTCTCACTACGACCGATTCTGAGCCATGTGTCCTTCAGTCAACAAAATTCATTGTTAATTGACATGAAAATACTAGATTACTTTTAGTGTGATTTACTTTTAGAAAATATATGTACTTTGTGGACAAATTTGTAAAAGAAAATCAAGAATTATTACTCGAAAAAGTAATTAAATCAATAAAAACCCACCAGTAGGGTGTTCCAATTAAAGTTGTTCGTTTGGCAATCGAAGTATTCAGTTGGGCGGCAACACCAAAATCCGCTAATTTATAAGATTGAAATAATCAGGTAAAAATCACTGATTACAAGCAAACATACCCACTTTGACATGACCGTTATCTGTCAGAAGAATATTAGCACCCTAAACATAAATCGCAGTCAAAGAAGTGAGAAAATACACTAACTTTAATATCCCTATGAATACGTCCACGATTGTGCATAAAATTCAAACCTTGTAAAGTTTCTCTAGAGACAAATGCAATGCAGTCTTCTTCTAAGGGACGCCTGGTATCTACACGAAAAATAACAATCCACAGTTTATGATAAGTTATTTTTTTCATACAGAGATAAATATCTTGCATAGATTGTCCACCGCAATATTCCATGCATATCCATAATTTGTTATTCCTGAATAAAATCAATTTTCATATAGATTACGTGTAGATAAGTTACCTAAGATAACTACCGTAAAACTGCACAATATTTGGATGCCGACATTCTCTCAAGGTGTGTATTTCTTGGCAAATTGATCGAATGTCATCTTTTAGATCAATCTTCATAACTTTAACCGCCACCAATGTCCGCCTCTCACGATGAACCGCCTGGACAAAACAAAGCGATTAATTAAGCATAAGGGAAATAACAAACAGGAAGCTTGTGTCAAGAAAACTTACTAGACTAAAATGGAATAAATTAGTAACTGATATGGTTAGTGGGAAAATAAATTTACATAGTAATTGTCAAAACCCTAGATCGTCAATCGGAAATTTCAGCAGACCTGACTGGATATACATCATTAGCAATGAGTCACAAGTATTGTAAGGAAACAAGATGTTTTCAGCCGACAGCTCCACGGATAAGCTTTTACAAAGAAAGGACTAGAATTGCTGTGGTATAAAGTGAGATTACTTCGCCTTGAGTCATGAAGATTTCCAATATATGCATTAGTATTCTAAATAAAATATTTTGAAGGCGTAGTGCCGTAAAAATGCACAAATGTCTCCCTTAGATGGTGTGAGAAATGAAAAAAAAATGACAGAATAGTAAAAAGGTTCAAAGTAAGCGTAGGAGTAAGGGGAGTTAAAAAGTTTTCTAAATCCCTTACAATTTTTTTGTTTTTATCTTGCTAATTTATATTTTCTTTTTTCAGTTGTCTCTTTTGTACCTAGTTTTCCTATTACCACTGATAGTGTTACTACTTCAAATATTCTGAGATTTGGTCTGACAAAATCTTTTTATGCTAATGGGGTGTGGCAACTTGAATCGATGTGTATACGTACAGGTTTCACGCTGCGACTGACTGGGTGAGCAGGCAAATCACGTTGAGAATATGGTTGTAGAAGACGGAGTGAAACGGTAAGTATGAAGGAATACTGAAACTCAAAACCTAAGGTGAATACATCTAGGCCACCGTAAGTGATTCTGAATCACATCACGAGGTAATCGTTTACCGGCAGTAGGTGTGACTTAATTATTATAGTGGGTGAACTGATAGGATCGACTACTAATCACAAAGGCAATGATAAAAGAGTATATGATAGCGATAGTGATTGAGATAGTAATTTAAGACTAAGTTAAATCTAACTTATTCAGCCAACATAGTTGGTGGAAATTTGCAATAATTTTTCAGTGGTCAACTTTCTGTGCAAGTTAAAATATACCACATCTTGAAATATTACCTGGCTTAAGCCTATAACAGGAAAACAGTAAACAAATGCAGAAATCACGAATAAAAGAAAGAAAAAAACAAGGAACTATTACTGAGTTGCACTTGCAACGTACAGTCTACATTCAACGAAAAGTGTTCCAACATCATGGAATGAGTCGATAGTTGTCCCTATGTTTAAAAACGTTTCACGACGTTCCTGTTACAACTATCGGGGGACAAGTCTACTTCCAATTGCGTCCAAGCTGTTGACTTCCGTCATATTTCGTAGGTTGTTCAAAAACCCGAGAAAGATTGACTCAAGAGGAGCAGGCTGGGTTTCGTTCTGGTCGAGGATGTGTTGATCATATCTTCACCCTCCGCCAAATGTTAGAACACAGTCATACTTATCAAAGGCCCAACAGTCGTAGTATTTGTTGACATCAGGGCTGCCTTCGATTCGTTGGATAGGACTGTTCTCTGGGATTGTCTGTTGAAGAAGGGTGTGCCTGAGAAGTTTATTAACATCTTAAAAGCCCTATATACAAACACCTCAGGCAGAGTGAGGGCATGCAACCACCTCTCTCCATTGTTCCATTCGAGCAGTGGGGTTAAGCAGGGTTGCCCAATCTCACCATTCCTCTTCAACTTTTCCATCGATGACATTCTGGAAACAGCTCTGATGAATGTAAGTAATGGTGGTGTGGATCTGTTGCCTGGCGAAAGACTTCTCGACCTTCAATATGCGGATGATATTGTCTTACTGTGCGATAATGCCCAAGCCATGCAATCCGCACTTAATCAGTTGGCAATCAGTGTCCGTAGGTATGGTATGTGCTTTGCACCTTCGAAGTGCAAAGTACTTCTACAAGACTGGCAGGATTCCAATCCTGTACTCACCCTGGATGGTGAGCAGATAGAAGTAATCGAGAAGTTCGTGTAGCTAGGTAGCTGCATAAGTGCTGGTGGTGGCGTGAGTGATGAGATCAATTCATGTGTAGTGAAAAGCAGAGCGAATTATGCCAATCTGGGCCATCTCTGGCGCCTTCGTGATGTTGGTCTGCCTGTAAAACTTCGGATCTACAACGCGTCGGTGGGACCAGTTTCGCCCTATGCTTGTGAAACCTGGCCTCTCTGAGTTGAGGACGTTAGACGACTCTCTGTGTTCGATCATCGCTGTCTCCGAAGGATTGCTGACATTCAGTGGCAACACCATGTCAGTAATGCAGAGGTTCGGCATCGTGTGTTTGGGCACAGAGATGATAATTCAATTGGTGTCACCATCTTGAAACACCGACTTCGGTGGCTTGGACATGTTATACGAATGTCGTCCCAGAGAATTCCACGTCGTGCATTATTTGCCGACTCTGGGACTGGTTGGAAAAGACGGAGAGGTGGTCAGTGCATGACATGGTGTCGTGGTATGAAAGAAAGCTGCAAAGGACTGGCTTCTATCGGTCCTTCACGACTCCCTGGTTGGGGTCTGAGAGATGGTGCTACACAGTGGCTAGAGATGTTATCAGATATGGCTCAGAATAGAAGCCAGTGGCGATCCTGCTGTAACCTTCTTTTACTTTCTTCATCAAAGGTGGTTGTAAATTCCTTAACTGAAAGAATTCATTCTGGTTGTACCTCTCCGTTTCCCCCATCATTATTACACTACAATACACTAATCTGTGGTCGTTATTGTTCTCTTTTTCTTCTCTCTTATACGCACATTAAATTCGTTTTCTCTTCCCATTCTCATTGTTAATGTGTGAAGAGTATATATCTGGTGCCCCCTTGCACAAATATTTATGTGTTCAAATAAATAAATGAATGACAGATGGATGGGATAACAGTGGGATCCCCTCTTTGTCCATTACTAGCTGAATTCTGAGCCATCCTTTCTCAATTATAATTTCCCTATCTATCTTTTGATGGATACTTGAGCCATTAACAATCAAACGATTATTGAGTTTTTACTGTTTAAAAGTTTTTCTAATACCTTTGTTCATTTTACCTCACTGTCACTATGTCTAACAAGTTTAGTATCAGTATTATTATAAGTATTATCATCCTAAAAAATAAGTATATATATATATATATATATATTTGCGATTGTACAGCTTTGAAAATAAATTCGCCGAAAAAAGAACTCTTCGCTGAATTATTCTTTCTTATTTAAAAAAGACTATGACCGGGATTTATCATTCCTCAATAATGGAAGTACAAAAAGTTATTTTATTTCAGTAATCATTACAATTCAACTTCTCTTAAAAAACGGAAGTAGGAAATATTCCCTAGGCAATGGTTAATTATATTTCGGCAGCAAAACTTATGTAGTTATGTCCAGTCAATGAATGACGTAAAACCTCATTTTAATAGATGTAAAACTGAACAGATCTGGAAGCAATAAATTGTGATAGCAAGTTTGAATAACTCTAGTTACTCAAGACCGTCCATAAGACAACTTAGTTTTCTTAATAGAATATCTGAAACAGGCTTAGAGATTGACGTTATTTGTGACTGTCATCCATGTTTGAGACATAACGCTGTAGAATTAGAAAGATTGTTTTGTGTATGGTTCAGTAATGTTAGCAAAATAATTCTATGAACCTTTAAGTTAGGCAGAAACGCAATTCTGGTTATGTACCAAACGAAAATTCTTCAAGTTGAAAATAGAACTTTTGCATAAAGTTCGAAAACTGACGCCTCATAGATCAACTAATTGCTTCACAGTATACTGTCGATCATAATAGACAAGCATTTGGTCCGTGCTAAAATTTGTTCCTTATAAACTCACATCATCACATTATTTAAATTTATTAGCAAAAATGTTGACACTGAAGCGTAGGAACGACCTTAAAAATTAGCTATATGGATAAATTATGAGGATAAGATGGTCTTTGCCTATTATTACACTAACCTTGAAGACATCTCCGTAGGTCCCACTACCGATTGGAGCGAGTATCTTATATTCCTCCTTGGGGTCATTGGGTTTCACAAATTGTCGAAGGTAATCTAGCTTAGGATGGTTCATGTATCGTTGTATTCATTTCGTCTCCTGTTCAAATGGCGCGGGAAAATTTATTGAGATAGACTACATTTATTATCCGTCATAAAATTATTTAATTTCAATTATTATACTTTTATTTCCCGAGCTTTTGTTTTAATTGTCCACTGTAACTTTTCGGTTTGGTTTTGTTGGTTGGCTGACAGCTTGTTTGACCTGCTTCAGTGAACGGGAAATGGAATCTGCGTCTACGAAAAAGGTCTGCTACTATTATGACGGTAAGTGCATTCTGTAACATGTATTTTGCTCATTTTTTCAGTCTAAGTCATTCTCCTGTTCAACTGACTAGAATAGTTTTGTTTCCCCATACCGTCCCAAGACCTGGATTATGAAACTCTTAACAAGTTACCATCTCCCGAGTTCAGTGTTCTCAGTGATTAGCTACTTTTGTTACCAACGGCGAACTAGCTTTGTAGTAGTCTGCGTGGCTTACACTAATTTTTAAAGCATTTTAGATAATTAAGCTCGCTTCAATATTCAGATAGAAAATTAAAGGTGATTGCATTAAATAACTAATTGTCAGGGGTGTACGTTCCCAAATGGGCTGTTTAGATTGTATTTATCGTTCCTAAGTACCAAATAAATGAAAAATACCACTAGAACGTTAATCCAAATTCGTCCTTTAGCTAATAGTGTGACCGCAAGAATTTATGCTCTTGAACTTATTTTTAGTGAAATCCAAGCGCCCATTTACCTTCACTCTATAGTTTCTGTTCCACGTCTGAGTAGATGAACTTAAATCTTATTCTCTGTAATCTTACCTCAAGTAACAAATCCAAGACATTCTCTTCGAGCACCTAGAAAAACAATTCGGTAATTACAACATCTGTAATTCTTTACCCGGTGTTATTATATAGTTGTCCTTAATTTTATAGTTACTACTGAGTTATATTTTCACGTATTCCGGCATTTCTAGTGCCGTAACTCGGATCAGATTCTCTCTGAAAACCGCATTCAAATGAGATTATAGGTCGAAGTTTCACTTAAGTATGCTGTCATACCGGATCGCTCAGGCAATACTATCACTTTGAAAGTGGTTTAACTTTGACTTAGGATGACATGTTTGTTGACTAGATTATACTCAGCTCTTTACTTGTAAGATTTATCAGCATGCAGTTATCGCCGGACGTTTATTTTTGTCTGCACACCTAATTAAGAATTTGTCAAAAATATAGCGGTTAACCTACGTAATCTGTTGAGCTTTATGCATTTCTCACATGGTATATTCATGTTTGATAATATCAGCTGCTAACTATAGGTATGCTAGATTTAATTCAGGACAGCACAATCTAGACATGAAATGAGGTAAGATTTCAGGTATGTTACTGAGGCTTGTTTTCCTTAGAAAAATAGGTTCAAATACATATCGGTGAGACTATAATTTATGGGCGCATTTGAGCGACGCCAGACTGACCTTGAGAGTGTTCACTTAATAACCGGGACCAAATAAGGATTATAAACCTGTGTGAGGAAATAGACTTGTGATTTACAGTTGATGATTAGAGATAGAAATGAGATTTAGGGTTTTCATCACGCACTGACATCAGCTACAGTGCAAAAACTATTTGTCCGAATGAATGAGTGTATTCCGCGCAAAAACCTGAGACCTGTTATCTTATACGTGATTGGTTCGTCTACAAATTATGGTTTCGCCTACATATCCTTTGCTTTCGGTCATTCAGTTGCATCAACTACTGACACTGAGAAAGGGAACTTCTGTCCATAGTCAATAAATCTGTTTATGATAGATGTCGTTAGTAACGTAGGTAAGATGCTTTCTGGGCTAAATCAAAGGTAATTTTCGAGCTTATTCCCTACTGTAATCATTATTTTGTTATTGTTTAAAGTCAATTGATTACTATGCAGAGATCTTGTTGTATTTGGATAAGTAACTATACCGTTAAACCACATTCATTCAAATACAAAATTTGCGCCTTGTAGACTTTAAAAAGCTTTGGTTTTTCGCGGTTCAGAATTTAGTTTTGCTTCCAGAAGCTATCTCGTTTTAATCGACTTTCTGACAGTCATGTAATTGATTAATATTTTCCAAAAAATTTCACTTCTAGGTGATATTGGAAATTATTATTATGGTCAAGGACATCCCATGAAACCGCATCGCATAAGGATGACCCACAATCTTCTTCTTAATTATGGTTTATATAGAAAAATGGAAGTTTATAGGCCATCTAAAGCATACAGCGAAGATATGACAAGATTCCATAGTGACGAATATGTCAAATTCTTGAAGAATGTAAGACCAGACAATATGCATGAATTTAATAAACAAATGCAACGTTTCAATGTTGGCGAAGATTGTCCAGTCTTTGATGGACTTTTCGAGTTTTGCCAGTTATCAGCTGGTGGTTCTATTGCTGCAGCCGTGAAACTGAACAAACAGCAAACTGACATCGCCATTAACTGGGGCGGCGGTCTCCATCATGCAAAGAAATCTGAGGCGTCAGGATTCTGCTATATCAATGATATTGTAATAGGGATTTTAGAACTTCTGAAATATCACCAAAGAGTTCTCTATGTGGATATTGATATTCATCATGGTGATGGTGTTGAAGTAAGTAAAATTTTGGTCGTTTAATCAAACAGGAAGCTTTCTATACTACTGATAGGGTAATGACCGTTAGCTTCCACAAGTACGGCGAGTATTTTCCTGGAACTGGTGATCTAAAAGATATTGGTGCTGGTCGTGGTAAATATTATGCTGTCAATTGTCCACTGAGAGATGGGATGGATGATGATTGCTACGAGCGTATTTTTAAGCCTGTCGTAACGAAAGTATGTTTCAATGCTTTTTTTAACACTGTCTAGGTTATGGAAACTTTTCGACCCGGGGCCGTTGTCTTACAGTGTGGTGCTGACTCATTATGTGGCGATCGACTTGGGTGTTTCAATCTTAGTCTGAAAGGCCACGGAAAATGCGTCGAATTCATCCGCTCATTTCCTTTACCGCTTCTTCTTGTAGGAGGTTTGTATCTAATTGCTTCTTTAATCGCATATTTATTCACGTTTCTGTGTACATAGTGCTGCTTTTTCTAGTGTTCACAATTTTACTACGAGATACATATCAAGTTAAATTCCATGGTTGCAACTGTAATAATTTGTTCACTATACATAGTTACTGACTACCGCTGAACGAAAACTAAAATAACAGTATATTTCAATATCCCCAAGATGCATGTCATGTTTTTTACTTTTGTCATGATCATATATTAATGTAATTTTACATTTCAGTCACTATATTTTATGGTCATGTTATTTCCTTGTCACAGGTGGTGGTTATACAATCCGGAATGTTGCTAGATGTTGGACTAATGAAACATCTATTGCCCTGGCAACTGAGATCCCCAATGATTTACCCTACAATGATTATTATGAGTATTTCGGCCCTGACTTCAAGCTACATATAAGTCCGAGCAATATGGCTAATCAGAATACTAATGAATATCTTGAGCATATAAAAACGAAACTATTTGAAAATCTGCGAATGATACCTCACTGTCCTAGTGTTCAAATGCAAGGTACGTCTTATGTTTAACTGTTGGTAAATAGTTACTAAATACAGTTTTCACTAGATGTACTTTCCTATCCTTAAAGCTGTACCGAAATACTTAGAGTCCTCACTAATTTAAAATCGGATTATTAAACTGATTCTTCAAAGTAACTAGTCAGGATGTCTAGCGTTTCGGATTAGTTAACTTTCAACGTCTTTTCCCATATCAGAGGTTCAAAGCAGTGCTGGTGTTAAAACAACAGTTACATTGTTATGACCCTGTTTATCTGATTGGTTAGATCCAACTGATTGTCTTCCTTTACTGTTTACAGTAATGAGATTAATTGCTATGGATATGATTTTCAACCGTTAGTGTAAAGAACCCCCCTCGATCCATCACTTTTGATCACACTTTAAAATTGAGAATAGTTACAACTCATTTGATCTTTATATATATATATATATATATATATATATATATATATATATATATATATATATACTGTGTTGTCAAATACTATGTTCAGTAGTGAAGGCATTTATTACATCCTATGTATGGTACCTGAGAGCGAAAATTTTTCCCTACAACGGATCGATAAAAAATGATGAAACCTTAAAGCAAGTATCTTTTTGATCAGTCAGTCAGCTACAACGTAGGACCTGGCACATATATGCATCGGTCCAAGTTGCCATACACCAAATTCATAAAAGCAGTTACTTCTATGGTGGACAACGAGCCATATCACCCAGTCTCCAACCAATGGGTACGATAGTTGCAAGGACCCAACCGAATAGTCTGCATCTAACGACATGGCTTATACCAGAAGTTAGTGACTTTATGGACTGATGCCACATTTTGGTTTAACCGCTCCTAACTCTTCCGTCTCCAACATTATTCAGCATTGCGCGCCATTGTTCTATACGAGTAGTGGGGTTAGGCAGGGTTGCCCAATCTCACCATTCCTCTTCAACTTTTCCATCGATGACATTCTGGAAACAGCTCTGATGAATGTAAGTAATGGTGGTGTGGATCTGTTGCCTGGCGAAAGACTTCTCGACCTTCAATATGCGGATGATATTGTCTTACTGTGCGATAATGCCCAAGCCATGCAATCCGCACTTAATCAGTTGGCAATCAGTGTCCGTAGGTATGGTATGTGCTTTGCACCTTCGAAGTGCAAAGTACTTCTACAAGACTGGCAGGATTCCAATCCTGTACTCACCCTGGATGGTGAGCAGATAGAAGTAATCGAGAAGTTCGTGTAGCTAGGTAGCTGCATAAGTGCTGGTGGTGGCGTGAGTGATGAGATCAATTCATGTGTAGTGAAAAGCAGAGCGAATTATGCCAATCTGGGCCATCTCTGGCGCCTTCGTGATGTTGGTCTGCCTGTAAAACTTCGGATCTACAACGCGTCGGTGGGACCAGTTTCGCCCTATGCTTGTGAAACCTGGCCTCTCCGAGTTGAGGACGTTAGACGACTCTCTGTGTTCGATCA